GGGGGATTGTATAAACTAAAAAGGATGCAGGACTCTAGCAAAACCCTCAGCCTAGCCATGTTATCAAGAGGAGGAAAGAATCAATTGGCCTTGTTTGCTGTGCGTCACTTCTGTTGCGCAGCAAGATGTGTGGGACGGAGACCACAGGCAGGCAATGAGGACAACGCTTTGCACTGCCTGAGCTATTGCCTATTACTACTGCATTATCCGAGTTGATTCAATGGCAGCTGGGTGTTAACATACCTTCGAGGCTCTGAACTGGTGTTCTCAGTTCCCCAAGATTATAGGGCCTGACCTAAAGCCCGTGGAAATCGATGGAAAGATTCCTACTGAATTTCATGGGGGTGGTATTAGGCTGCTATTAAAAGGTGACCTTTGAGCATAGATTTCAGGGGCAGATGTTCAGAGCGAGATGTATTAATGACAGATGCTAGAAGAAAATCTAGTAGAGAATGCGGTGGCAGGAAATCTCTATGTTACTCACTCTGTCCTGCTGGAAGGTTAGCCTGAGGACAAGGCAGGGCGAAGGTGAAAGCGCTGATCAGCATGAAAGCAGTTCACCAGGCCTGATCATGGATTTCTATGGAAGCAGCAGGGGATGACAGTGGGAGAGGAGACTTCGGTGTCTGGAATGACAGAACGCACTTAGACCTTTTACCTTGGCTGGACCTCGAAAGCCTTATTGCCCCGCATGGGACCAGTGTCGGCCCCTTCTCCAGACAGCCACCGCGCTCATGAAAGTTAGTGAAAGCAGGATGTCTCGACTGTCACTGGTACCAGCAGGGGGGCTCTCCCTCCAGGAAAGAGCTACTAATCAATAAGAACAATTGTGTTAACTGTGAGAAAGGCTCTCCCTCCCCACTTTGCCATAGCATCAAGAGTCTGAAAGGTCAGTTGTACTAAATAAAAGCTTCCCCTGCCCATCAAGTTCTCTCTTTGGAACAGCTTGTCCTGCCAAGCACTCCAGGCAATTAAAAAAAAAAAATACAAAACAAAACCAGGCAGTCAAGGACTCGGTTCCTTTAAGCTTATTTAATGATATTTGAAACGCTTAAAATTTTCTAGTTCCCAGATCCTGAAAACAGAAATATTTTTTTAAGTGACCAATATTTAATTCCAGAAACATACAACCTTATCCGCTAAGTCATAAAAGAGCTATTTTACAAACATACATCTGGATAATTAGAACAATAAAGTCTTTTTAGACATTCAAACATGATCAGTAAAAATACAGGATTATTAATAAAGTTTTTTTTTTTTTTTTTGTATTTTTCTTTTTAAAGAATACTTCCAGATTTCTTTTTCTTCTCTTTAAAGTAAAATCTCTGTTAAGAGTACATGATTGTATGGTGTACAAAGAAAATAAAAATATTCTAGTAGGAAGAGCATTCCAAAAAGACATAATTCAAAATAAAAACAGCAGTGTGTTGGCTGCAGTATCCCTTTCGCAGTACATCTGCTTCTCAGTTGGCAGCTAGGGGGCAAAAAGTGATTTCTCTGGGGAGTTCTCAATATCAAATGCCATCAAGCATCTACTCAGGGGTTATCTGCGCAGGTAACAGACACCTCTTCTAGCCAAAACGGGAACAGCTTCGATAAGAGCCAGAGTAACCATGTTGTATGGAAAGACTGGAGATAGGCAGTGTGGCATGAAAGCTGACCAGGTGTCTACACTTTCCATTCAAGCCCCTTGGATTTTCATCCCTCATCCCCACCCCCACTGGTGGAATCACGAGACAATTTACCCTCCTTGCAAAGCAAGCAGGTCAGCTTTGCTCAAGCTGTGTTGCCAATCATTATCCTACCCCTTTATTGTAGTGAGAGAGATTCCTTTCCTTCTGGTCCTGTGAACTGGATCCCAGGACACCAGATGAGTGCATTTCTCAAGAGGGGACTTTGTAGTAACCTTTCCTCACTTCCCAAGAGGAGAAACCCTGGGTCCTCTTCTATAGAAGAAAAGCACACGGAAGAAGTGGGTGGGGGAAACACGCACAGAGATGCACAAAATCAGGGAGCGCAGTGCCCTGTTCTACTGTCCAGTTTGAATGAGGGAATGTACAACCAGCAGCCAGGGACAGGTTAAAATGTCGCCTCATGCCAAGCTGGAAACTGGAATTTACAGAAAGAAAACCCATGGCTAGAAGGGAAATAAAAAAGCAGGAAACCTGCAAAGTGCATTTGAGCTCCAGCCCCCTCCCCACAGAGCCATGCCTGAGGTCTGCCGTACAGTAAACATGCCAGGGAGTGAAACGGGCTCCTCCTGTGATTTCAGGGAACTCTGCTCAGGAAAATAAAGCTAGAGAATCATACTAGGTAACAGTAATGCCCTTAACATGAGACTGATCAACATAGCATGACAAGGCCAGTCGGAAAAGCAAGCAGAGCAGAGCACAGCAGGTCATTTCGCTTCCATGAAACTGGGTCCAAGTGGATTACCCTTCTTTCTCAGCTCCAAAAAGGTCCTTTGACTTCCTTAGGTCTAATCCCATCTAGCACCCTCCATCATCCTGAAGCCTCATGTGCCACCATCACCAGACTAGCAGAGGAACGAACAGTCAATGCACCCTTTATGCATGCGGAGAGATGCTAGAGGCTGGAGTGTAGGCTAGGGCACTCCCTCACCCATGCAGCTCTAGCGGTGGGAGCACAAGTGCAAATCTAGACAACACCGGAACGGAAATGCCCACATCATGGCCGTGCTAGCTTGTCCATAGCAATCACCTGTCATAGTGCTGCCCCAACACCAGTGCAGTTATGGGAGCTTTCCCCAGGACAGGGGAGTCAGATGGGGAGTTAATGAGTGCAGAGTGTGCCCCTCCATCATGAGGCCAACTCGCTGCTGCTTAGGCAGCATCAGGATCCCTATGCCCCTAGCAGGAGGGCAGAGATCAGGAGAGGCTCTGGTGTGAATTACAACAGCAAAGTGCCTGGCCAGGACGCCCAGACAGAGCCCATCACCACTGGGTGTAGAACCCATACTTGGAAACAGCCTGACCTCTGTATATTAAATACAGCACAAGGCTGAGAAGGATCAAGCATCATTTGACAACCCTGGAAAGCCAGAGTTACTGGCAGCTGGAGCCATAGCATGCAATGCAAAAGGGTAACAAAACAAAACAAACCCATCTCCCATCTGTCCATCCAGGACACAGGCATCATTCTGACCAACAGAAGTGATGGGAGAAAAAACCACCACCAGAAAAAGGGCATTAAGAGCCAAGTTTGGCCAGGGATCAGGTATCACTGGATCAGGATTAGGGAGCAAGGAGATTCCACATGGGGCTCTGGTTAACTTTCTGGGCTTTTCAGAAGTTTAAACTCATGGCACGTGGTGGCTGAAGTTGTGTGTGGAGCTGTCACCTATATAACACTGGAAGGCCTATACTGCTACTACCTTTATACAGTGGCCCTTAGCATGGCCTCAGCAAGAGAGAGCTCCTGCTTGAATAGGAGGTAACATGTTGGCAGCACGTAGCTCCTGCCGGAGGAGAATGATGCTCAATGCACTTGGCTTCTCTATGAGAAAGATCTTCCCTGCTCTATTATGGCTCCAACTTTCAAAGTCCAAAAACCTTTCTAGGCAACTGATATCTACTTTTATAAGCTCCTCCCTCTCCTCCCTTTCCCGCTATTTTAAAGGGAAATATCAAGGCTGGTTTTTGTTTTGCATGAGTGGAAGAAGCAATTTTGAATCTCTGCCATTTGCTACATGGGAAATCTGCTTGCGTGTTAATGAAGCAAGGAGTATGACCTTTATGCTGATCAAAGAGATTCTCAGCACTTCATGGTCCATGCAGTAATGCAAACATCCTTGTAATAGCTTGAACATGCTAATAGGATTTACAGGTTTGGCACATTGTTCAGTTTAAAACTTTCATATCTGGTGCAGAAGGCACGTGTCCTATGTACTTGAAGCTACCAATCTGACTCAAGGGAGATTGTGAGGCTAGAGACAGCCTGGAATTGCCTATCCCATGCCCATCCTGCTAGCAAGTTTCTGAGCAGGTGCTATCAATAACCAGTCTGGAGTGTCCAGTGTTAGCTCTGCCGTCAGACAGAAATTTCCCATCTTGTTCCTAGTCTAGGGTAAATTCCAACAGCAAACTATTCAAACTGGCCTAAGGAAGTGCTAGAGAGCTGGCTCTGACTCCAGCTGTTCTGCCTTGTCTGCTGTGCATCTCTCTGGTTTGGGGAGAGCACTTTGGCACAATCAGTGCAAAAAAAAAAACAAACCCTCAGCAAGATATACCTTCAGGTACTAAAATGTACTGGCCCCATAATCAGCAGTACCTGTGGCTAACTCCATTGGCAGCCAGGGTTCATTCAGTAGTGATTCAACGACAGACACCCACCTGCCCAACACCTCAGAAACATTCCTGGGTTTCCATTTATTTCTGTCCGATAAGGAGAAGTTACACAAGTGCTGCAGCTCCAGGCATTGTTTATCGCTTTTAAAGGAGATTGTGATCAAGGCCAACATGAAGTCAAGGAAAAAAAACCCAGCTTTCTCCTCTCCCAGTGAGGCCCCACAAGTCAACGAATGAGAGCACCAAGGTTGGGGGTGGAGAGGGGGAATAGTGTTTGCCAAATTTCAAGTGCCTGGCTATTTTAGTGCATGGAGAATCCTCATTACACACAGTGACAGGAGCTATCTAGAACAGGCACTCGCCCAGCAGGGAGACAGCTCCCATGCTCTTCAATACAGTTCATTTCAGCCATAAATCATTCTAACCCCTTCCGAAATAGCTCTTTGCATGGCAGTTTTGTTGCCAGGAGGGACTGTGGAGTCCAGCCCAGTGAAATCAAGACACACGTGTGCACACACATTCTCCTTCCAACTGCACTTGCTTCCAGGAACAGCAAGACCCGGGGGTGGGGGGAAGAGGGGTACTCTATGCAGAGGCCTAGACTTGTCACTACCCAATTCAAACAAAAAGCAAATAGAAAAAAAAAAAAAATGTTAAAATGTGCTTTTGATACACGGAATGAAGTCAAATAAATACAATGATTTTTTTTTTTAATGTCTAAATACATTTTATATCCTACACCCAAAGCTCTGTACATTTGGTTTGGTTGTTTTTTTTTTTTTGTCTGTTTGTTCAGAATCAAAAACAATTTTTTAGTAGCAAGGAGAGGAAGAGGAGAGAATGGAAGAGACTCCCTGCCAGCCAGGCTAGTGCAGTTGCCCCTGAAGGAAAGCACCCCATTCCCTGCTTTGCTGGAGTATGGTTAACACTTGGATGGTCCACAGAAAGAAGCCCTGTAGCCTCAGAGTCCACACGGAAGCCAGCAGGCGCCGATACTCTTCATCCAACCTTCAGCCACTTCTAAAAACGTGACTAACTTTTGTCTGAAGAAGAAAGAAAAGGTGGGAAGCCATGAGGGAGGGAGCATCATAACCAGCTCAAATTGTATGGTAAACCCAGAGTGTTGCTCTCGGGGACAATGACATGCCACAGCTGATGCTGAGCTATAGGCACCACAAAGACCTGCTGCGGCCACGTTCAAAGGGACCCGTGATGCCTGCTTACAGGGCCAGAGGTGCACATGACATTTTACCCACCAAAGTAGCAGGGGTCTGTCCAGCTTCTCTCAAACTGCCTTTACTTCTTCAGTTAATCTAGTCCCCTTTGAAAAGGCAAGCAATGCACTTGGCTAAAGGGAATCAAAGCATGCTGAAGTGCCTCAAACGTCAAGCCATCCTTTCAGGGAAAGGAAAACGCACTCAGCAAGTCCAAGCCTCGGCTGCCTTGATTTTCCTCATCTGGAATCAGCAGGTTGAACTCCTTTCGAAGCCTTTTGTTTGAAAAATTAACAACTGAATCTGCTCAGCTTCTTTTGTGCCAGGGTATTTTAGCATACGTCACCCTTTACAAATAGGGGCACTGGGAACAAGGGGATGGCATGTTGCTCGCGTACCTGAGTGCTCATCTGTGGGGGCTGATCCAGCCAGCCTTTGGCGAAGGAGAGTGGCATAATTTTCCTCGATCTCCTGGAAGACAAAATACATGTGGCTCTTTCCCCATGTTCCAGCTAGACCTCCAAGGCTGGGGGTACTCCAGTTAGGGACTGCTTTAATGCAGGTGACTTCATGCAAATCACCCCAAATACCAATGGCCAACACTGCATCTTAACCTAATTTAAACCCATTTCCAAGGCACTCATCCTTTTCCCCATACCAATCTGAATGCCGACATTTTTTGAACAATGCAGCTCTGTTTAACTGTCACATATATTTAGATAGACCTACAGGCTTCTCCTGCACCTGGGATTTAAAACCAGAGGAATAATGCCAATTTTAGCTTCCAACCCTTCCAGGTATATAACACCCCCCCCCCATTTCTGCACACCTCCCCCACCCCCAAGATCTTCTCGTTGTTCCCTCAAATTTCATAAAGTAAAGTTCAAGGATGGAGAACCCCAACTAATTCCAACAGAAGCACACTGTACCTTTAAGTGTTCAAGGTCAGCCTCGATCTTGTGAATGTACTGCATCATCTGGATACGTGACTCTACGGAGAAGGGGGGGCTTGGTGCTCCGGAGCTGGACTCCTCCACAGCCGCCCAGCGGGAGGCCATGAACTCAGCAAACAGGGAGCTCCCCCCGTCTGACTGGGCCTCCCTGGGGGAAACGTGTTGCTGCTGCGCCGTGTCCAGAGAGGTGCTGCCTGCAGTGCACTGTAGGACTAGCGAAGACACCTCATCGTCCGTGGAGCTTTCCTGCACCGTTCCATATCCGTCAAGGATCAAATAATTTCCTGTTAAGAGAAGAGCTTTGGACTAACCGCACCAGCTCAATATAGTCACCAAAAGCCAAATGAACTAGAGACAATTTAAGAAGACCTTAAAAAAAGAACAAAAAAAGTGGTAGAGGCCTCATCTCTCAAGCTATTTTAAAACGGACTAGCTGATGCACTGCGAGTGTGACAGAGGACAGTGGTTCACTGAACTGGGCTGGTTCAGAACCAGGATTCACAAGCCACAGGATTCGCAAATTCAAGAACCACAGAATAAGTGCTCAACTGCTCCAAAAATTCTCGTTTCAGATTTTTATTACAAGTCCCTCAAAAAAGGGTGCGCGCGCACAGTAACACAGGTGTCTGCATGATTAGCACTCGCCAGTGGCATTTCTTGACAATACCAAGGTTGCAGCAAGCTAGCACGAGCGAGCCAGGAGTTGGATTAACCAGATCTGAGCCAGTCTAGCTTCAATGTCCCTGCTTAGTTAAATGGAAAAAGTAAACAGTGTAAGAGGTAAAAAAAAAAAAAAAACAAAAGTCAGATATTTAAAGATGTGGGGTCAGTTCTAAGCATTTAAAGAATCTTAGTCACACAGGGAAGGAAGAGACAGCAACTGCCAATACACAACTGGATCGTGTCATCCAGCCAATCCAAAAGCGAGTCCAATTTTTAAATAAAAAAAATATTGATGAATAAGTCCTCCAGAGCATGAGGGTCAAATGGAATGCACCAGTTAGCAGCTAATTCTGTTGCCAGATGCACAAAATAACCACATCTGTGTCAATTTAGTGCAGTGCCGCCGCTCCAGACATGCGGCAGTGGCAGGACCATCCGCCTAGAACCTGCTGAGCCCTGGGAAAGCTCTCAAAACTGCCATCTCAGACGGAGGAACTGAGTAATAAGTCGTGCTGATGAACAAGCCCGTACATCCCTCTTGGAAGGCTTGAAAACATTTGTTTTAAGATGCTACTTGGGGAATCATTAAATATAATATGATATATAAACAAAAAAGCTTTTAAGAGCTTCAGACCTGGCTGCAGGGGAGTCCCAGGAGAGAATTGCAAAGCCAAGCCAAGCTGCAGCAAGTTCTTTTTCTGTAGCTCAGACGCAAATTTAAACAAGGGCTACAACGTGGCAGGACCCACCAGCCTGACAGTCCCCCTGCAGTTACCACAAAGGTCCACCACACCATTTAAGATTACAATACCGGATAAAAGTATGTTAGCATAAATCACAGTAGTGCGCCAAGATGTCTTTCTTCTGCTCGCCAAAGAAAATACCCCAAGTTTTGCCTTCATGTTATGCAGCAACAAAAAATACAGGTTTGGTGCTCTTATAATACTGCTAACATCTCTAAGCGACTGCAGAGCCATCTCTACATGCCCACAGCGATGCTCTTCATCAGAACTTCTGGTATAGGGAGAAATCATTTAAGGAAGCTATGCTTCCGCATAAGAGATCTACGCTGCAAGCCTGGGTGTAAGTCTGTAAGTGAGGTCCCTGTGTTGGCCCGAGGGGCTGCAGGAAAGTTGGTTTCAAGTGGCATGAACGGGCGATTTCCAGACTTGGAAAATGAACTTTACAACATCTCTTCATGGTCCCTAAACAAGGAAACTCGGAGGATGTGGCTATGGGAAGACCTTGGTACACTGATGGTGCTGCAGCAGACTGATGCAATGCTCTCTTTTATGCATGCCCTGAATTCACTGAAAGCTAAGAGCGCAAGAGGACGGGTCATTAGCTCCTACGTTCTATCCCTAGCTTTGTACCGAGGCCCATGGCAAGCCGTTAGCCTTGCAGCTTCTCACTCTCTCCGTCTCGAAAATAGAGAATTAATGAGTTAACATTTGTGCAGCCCTTTCTGAAGTACAAAGGATTAGCTATTATTTTACACTCCAAGCTGAAAGGACTTCTAAAGACCAAAAGAGCTATTTTGAAGTGTTTCATATTGCATTAGCAAGAGTTTCCTCACGAGAATATAACTGTGGTCCTCTTTAATAATATATCACTTATTCATCACTGATCACAAAGTATCCAGGCTCTAGCCTTTGAGCTGGACAGATCTACATTCAGTGTAGCGTGGTAAGGGGACCTGCTCACCTGAGATCCGTAACTGCACCTCCTCATCCTCCTTCCTTTCCGTCACTTCTCCTTCGGATGGGATGTCGTCGCTGTGGGCCTCGCGGGCATCAAAGAAGTGCTCTCCATTGTCATCAGGACCCACTCCTTCCAGCTCCATGAGCGGGGTCTCCACGTTCATGCTTACAAGGTCCATTACTACATTATTACCTGACCTGGCGTCTCTAGATACCAGCTGCACGGCATCCTGTGAAGCTGGGAATTCAGCTGAAGTCCGGATACCATAACAAGCTGCGGGTTCACTAGTTCCAGGTCTGACAGGCATCCGGTCCACTCCAGGCTGGTGCATCTTGTTATTATCAGAGTGCTGCAGTCCACCCTGGTTTCCACTTTCTGCCCAAGCACCTTGGGAAGCTGTCCTAAACCTGGGAAAATGCTGCCAGTCTTCAAGGGTCCTCTTCTCTGACAAGCCAAGCTGCTGCACCAACAACTGTTTCAACAAGCCCACTGAAAGGAAACACAGAGTGCTCACTAGTGCACAGAAGCCATCTCAACTGTGTTTGAAATGAGATGGGTACTTTGATGCCTCTTTTGGAAAGCGCAGACACATGATCAAATCCTCTCAGTGTTAACTCTTGGGGGAGAGGAGGGTAGAATACAATGCTTGTCACAGCATTGTCTCTTAAATCACGTTACAAATAGGGTAAGTGCAGCGCACAATTCCCAATTTACAGATGAGGAAAGACACAGATCAGTGACTTAAATCATCCAGCAAGACAATGACAGCAAGGGGAAAAAAAAATCCAACTCTCCAATTTCCTGTTTTCACAGTTTTAACTACTAAATACTACTGCTATTAATAGGAGTTTCCATTTAAGGAGCAAATATCATGAGAACATAAGATGGCAGATCAAAGCAAAGCAAAGCTCCTGCTGCAAATACAAGGTAAATTCTTAAATAGTGAGATTTCACTCACTCCAGTTATTCAAACCAGACCATGACAGAAAAAGGATACTTATTAGGACTCTTTTCACAACACTCCCGGCACCTCTGAGAAATGCTGTCAGTTCATGTAGCAAAGCAGTCACTAATCTGAATGCAAGGCTGTTACAGAAACGTGAAATGACCCAAAGCTGTGATTAAAATGCAGCTCGCTAAATCTTAGGAGCCAAGAGGCACAGTTGACTGCTAATATCATCCACACACCTCCCACGATGAGTTTTCAACACCCTCCGAGAACAAATACTAGTAATATTCCCACACTAGCCAGAGCCGGAACAGTACTCTCCCATCCTGTAAAAACTTGATGTGAGCTGAATCAAAAGATCTGAAGTAAATTATTTGAGAGATTTCACGTTCCTTGTGGAGAAGCCCAAGGCAGGGAACTAGGGAGAGGGCATGGATGCCTAAAGTCTTGAGGCTTAGAGAGCCAATGGGGTATTGATATATCAGCCCCAAAGAGCACAACTCCCAGGGACCATAACCACTTCAGAGGTGCCAGGCACGTGTGCCTGTGCCCCTCACATCCATAAATTAACAGAGTCGTCACAGGAATCGCCATGTGGGACCAAGCTCAGTGGTCCAGGGTCAGGAGGCAGAGGACAGTACCTCTTCTTCAAAAGAGCAATCACTGAATAACCATCTTGAAGAGTGCTGATGTTCACAGCTCCCCCAGAGGTTGGCTTACAGCCTCAGGCATGATGATAAACTCAGTCCCAACCCTTTTCACCCCAAATCTGTAATTTGAAAATAAGTATGCTGGTACTCTAAATTGCCCATCCTTTTTCATATTACCAAGCACTCCTTTATACTGTGGCAAGGAGTTCTGCACATTAGTTACCTGTTGTTTAAAATGTGACTTGAACAATAAGACTTTGCACTTCCTCATAGAGCCTCACAGTGTTGTTCTATTTCCAAAGTGCTTTATGGACGAGAACTAATGACTCCTTATAAATCAGTATTATCCTGCTCTACAGTCAGGGGAACCGTGCCAGAGCAATTACAGGAATTGCCCAAAACTACAGAAAGAGCCAGCATCTGAGGTATAGTTTTGCTGCAAAAGTCCCTGAACACCAGCCCGCTATGTTTTCTCTCTCCAATTTCTGCAACCCAAACAGAGGCAACCACTACTACAGGAATGGGCTGAAGATGCTCTTTAGGATCAAACTGTTCCCCAAATTCCCAGAGTCAAAACTCAAGCCGCTCCAGACCACAAGTGCCCGAAGTACCAGAGCTACTCACAGCTCCTTAACGCATCCAGTGCCCACCGCCCTTCTGACACCCCGCAAGGCACGTCTGCGGTCGCTTGTTCGTAGCACGCGGAGGAGTCTTTGAGCACAAGCTCGTCTTCCTGCTGCTCTTTGTCAAACTGCCTCTCTGTCACGAGGAGATCTTCTACTTCAGACTTCTCCGACATAACAGCTGAAGGAGACTGGGTCTTCAGTATGAGGGAAGGCTCAAGGCCCAACTCTTTATCTAGCACACAGAAAACACAAAAGTAACTGTACGTAAGCTGAAGTACTGAAAATGAACACACAGGGGCTCTTCCACATGATCACCTTTGGAGAAAGTCCCAACATGGTCCATTTTTAGCAAGCTGAGCCATTTGAGGTTCTCCTTTCCCAGCTGCAGACAAGCTAATAGTATCTCTCCAAAACCCGATTTTCACTCCACCGTAGGACTCATGGTGCGGGGTTTCCACTGCTGTAGCAAGATTCCACTAATGCAAGAGGCATGGCCTAGCACTCCTGTACTCAATCTAGCAGTTATTGATATCATTACCTGGACTCTGCATGCTGCTGGCTGGAATATCAGGCTGCTCGTCTTTCAACTTCTGCTCCTCTTCCTCACGCTCTTCTCTGTGAGAAGGAGACATGAGTTCTTTTAGGAAGATCCATTTACACTCACTAACAACATTATGGCCTCGATTATCCTGCTCTAGATGAGGCAAAAAAAAATAAAAATACTGGAACAGCAAAGCCAAAAGTGAACTCTACTTACTCGCCAGGCCCTGGCTGCGGTAATGGTATCACCCTTCTGGTGGAAGCCTCGGCTTTCACTGTCCCTGCCATCTGAGCTATCAGGTCCTGCCATCTGTGAGAGGCCAAAAATAACAGGCAGCGAGTTAAATTCCACAGGTTAATTAGGCTGACCTCACCAGACAGACGCTCCAGCACTGGAAGACTGATGCAAGGGCCTTTGCAGGAACCCTACAGAAGCAGCAGTTGGAAACACAATTCAGCACCGAAAGATCTGCACCCACCTGCCCCAAAGCAAAATATTCTGTGCAATGGACTGATGGCGCTAACCTATCCCACAGTGAACGGGAGGCAACATGGATATTGCGAGTGGATACAGAAGCGGGCGCAGAGATTTTATTCTGTTCCCTAAAAGTTCACCCAGAAACAAAATAAACCAGAACGTTTGGTGAAAAGGGGGAGATTTTTGCTTTCCAAATATATGTTCCCCATTGCAAGATTCCTACTGGAGTGAAACCAGGGAATATAACCCGGGATTGCATTCCTACTGCTGCTTGGCTTTGTCTCCAGGCATTTTTAATGAAAATGCACAGAGCGCCTGCAAACACACAGACACTCCCAAACTACAGCTCTAATTTCTACACTTCAGAATTTAATATCCCATTTGAGATGCCAGCAAAATGAACAAAAGCTTCGTCACACTGAAAAGAGCCTTTGTTACAATAGAAGTCATCCTAATTACACCTCGATTGAAGGAGGGACCACAAACGTCTTTGTCTAGCAGTGAACTTCTAAAATTTCTAATTAATGTTTTAACTTAAAGAGAATTTGCAGTGCTTGTTAAGAAATGCCAGACTGACATTCCTGGAAGCTGAAGTCTCCTCTCCATCGGCACAGAGCAAGGACAGCAAGGACAACAGCAGCAAACACTGGGACCACCTCCCAGCACATCCTTTGACCTTCCATCCCCTCATTTAGAAACCCAATTCTGGATGGATTTCCTTAGGGGATGTGAGGGGTGGTGGTAGGGAGGGCAGAGGCGACTTTAGCCTTGTGACTTAGCCAGCCATCTGAAATTCTCTCCAGAGACTCCCCAGGAATACAGTGATTAGTTAGAGCCAAAAATCATTTGTAATTTACTTGTTGTACCATCCATCCATGGATGGACTTGATCAAAACCCACCAGTAACTCTCACACAATGCAGGACACTTAAGTCACTGGATGACAGCTTCTGCTCACTGAAGATCTGGGGCCAGTTTCAAATCCTTAATGTACAGACTGTTTTTTTTACCTCATTGCCAACTTCAGAGCCATCCACTCTCCCAGGACAAAATATTGATGAGCTGGTGTTTAAAGATGTAATGTGGCCATACTAGATTGTTATTAATAAAGCCAGGGTCACCTGTTGCACTCATGAGAGCAGGTTATCTACCAAACTCCTTTGTACCAAAGCCAGTAGTTCTCACCTGTTCTATGGACCACACATTGTATAGTCCATAAGGATGATGTACAAAACAGTGTACGCTAGATACCTTGTAATCACACACAATGTTTGTGCTCGGAAATGTCAGGTCTGTAGGCAAGACAGGAGACACCGCAATGAAAACCCTGAGGAAGAGCCCACGCTGGCAAAGAGCTTTCATCACTGTGCTTCATAATGAAGGAAAACTCCAGATGGAGGGGAGATGTGGGAAGAGAGTTTTAGACACTAATTGCTACGTGTATGTGGACACACATGGCTGAGCTGAAGGTGAGCACTTGGACAGCAGAACTATTCCTTGGGCAGTGAGAGGTACAATCTCTCTCTTAAAGGTGACAAAAACAACACGGCACAGCATAGGCGGCCAAGCCCCTCACTTACGCGTTTTTTTCCGAAACGGTCTGTGCCACTAGTTCATAAATATGGGCGCCATTTTCTGACATGGAGATGACAAAGAAAGCTTTGTTATCTGGAGAGAGAAAGAATCGTTTAATCCAACACTTCGTCCTGCACAGTTTTATCTAGAAAGCACTGAAATCAGAACGATACCTACATATGCTTTTATTACCCAAAAGGGAACTGAGAGAAGAGTTTGTGAACTAACCCTCCAGGCAAACTACATAAACATGAATGAGTTGCTTTAACTCAGGCTTTCAAGCCTGACAGAAAATAATTATTGCTTCTCACATCACGTTAAATGTGGTTTTATTTCCCCTCTCACTTCTCTGGTCACTTTGCACTTCTACAGCACCTTTCACCTGGGGAAGCTCCAAGCACTTTGGTTTATGGACTCTATCCAAACTCCTTCCCACGCCACATAAGGGAAAGTGCTGCTCTGTTTTATGGATGGATAACACATGCACAGAGGTTAAATAACTTGCCTCAGGTCACATAGAAAGTTGGCAATACAATCAACAAATTGAACCCTGGTGTCCTGAACCTTACCCCCTGACCCCTGCCCCACCATCTAAACAAACTGCTTCCTTAAATGGCCTCAAGATTGTAGTAACCTCACTCTTAAACACTGCTAATTGTTCAGACTGACCTGTTGCCACCTGGCGAACTAGCACAGTGTTCAGCTTGATCACAGGGCTGAATATGTGCTTGCTGTCAGCAGTAGATGCCAGGATCTTACTGTGACACCGCAGCACCAGTTTGTCATCTTGCTTTTGCAACAGCACCAGAATATCCTCCAAGAGCAAGGTGTAGAGATCTGTGCAGGGTGAGAACAGGCCCAGGTCAGGATAAAGATCCACTCCCTCATCACACCCACCCCAGTTCAAAGAAAAAAGGCCTTTTTTCTATTAAACATGCAAAGGCAGCAATCAACTCGAGGCCATTCTAAGCTTATCTTCCTCATCAAAGCTACAGCTGAGGGATGCAGGCAGGATTGGATCAGCTCACGACTGACTGCTGTGTCCCTGCATGGTCTTAATGATGCTCCAAGCACATTTCAGATTGAAGAAAATAACTTAATCAACTCTGAGAAATATGCGGCCATCAACATAGGTAGCAGAACAATCTGTAATTGGGAATCACAAATGACTCATCTCTTCTCCACTGCTGGTTGCAAAATCCACCTCTAAGCCAGCTGCCAGAACAGGACTCACCTATAGTTTTGTCCCGATTCACCTTCCAAGTCAGAGGTCCTTCGTGAATCATCTTCCGCTTGGTTAAATCCAAATTCTGTCAATAGGGGAATGAATGAATAAATGAATAAAGAAATAAAAAACAAAACCCCCAGCATTTCTAGGGAGTGCATAGCATAAATAAAGGGAAAGAACCAAGACTTTAGAGAAAGGGTATAGATACTCCAGGCTAAAGACCAGTCCTGATTCAGAGCCTGGTAAAGAGAGATCTGGAATCAGAAAAGTTACAGAGGATGAACCCAGAGCCTGTGAATCACTGCACTCATCACTTGAGCCTGGAAGCTTCACCATACCCCCAAAAAAGTCCATTCTTCTCTGTTGTGCAAGAACAGGACCCTCCAGGCATAGACCAGATATAGGGGATGACAGGCCTATATTAAGGAAGCTTAATGTATAGGCTGAACAGGGCAAACTGGGTTCTATGGTTTGCATGGCAGGAGTGGGAAAGAAGACCAAACACCTGTGAAAGCACCCATGTAGTTTGTATGTGAAGAACAACAGAAGACGCTGTGATGACTGCCAAATGTCAGGTCAATTAAACATGGTGGGGGTAGGTGGTTTAGTCTCAATAACAGGTTTTTAGTACAAGGAATTGTTTTAAGTGCTATTTTAAGGACATTATGTGAGAGATAGAGGGGTTGAATCCTATAATCCACTGCTCTGAAAGTTAGATGCAAGGCAGAAGTCACAATTCAAGCCTTTCTGACTTGCGTGCATTTTTAAGCTCTGGTATTCCAATGGCATTCTCTTTGGATGAAGGGTTTACAACCTGGGGCCTTGCACAAGCTTAAAGTATCAGGTGAAGAATTTCCTTTTAAAATTACATTCTTGAGCCAGTTGAGGGGTCACTGTATTGCTACTGGTGTTCTGTCAATTTATACAAAAGTTTGCAGTTTATATTATAGCTGGTTAGTGTTTCAACAGCCAAGTTGAAAGTTAAGAATGCCTGAAGATGACACTGATGTATGAATTGTTTTGATGATCTGCAGGACTTTATAATGTCAATGGATTCTTCATTCATTTCAGTGCTTGTGACATTTAGCAGATCTGTAGACAAGCTAGTACATGTAGTAATTTCCACAAGCCATTCCTCCCAAGCCTCAGAGTTTATAAGTGGTGCCAGCAAGATAGCAGGTTTTATATCTACCATGAGTCTTTCATTTCATGGGATAAAGAGTTTGCCAAGTCTTTTCTGACAGGCTGGTAGACTACACAGAACAGCTTTATAGTGAACTCCATGAGCCTTGAAATGAAGAACTCTGACTATTATAAACTTATTTAGTGCCCCTGTGGAAGTTAAGTAAATGTGCAAGAGACTATGTTCAGCTATGAGAGGATCTATGTAGAATTTGTATTTTGCAATTTTTTTTGTATGCTTATACATCAAAAAGCTCTGTTTCAAGGATATTTGTGAGCGACATTACAGGCGCCACAAATCACAGAAGTTTACCACCAGCTCTAGCAGTTCAGCTGGTTATACCACTGGATCCTCAAGGTCAATCAACCTCAGGATGTTCCTGCTTGACACCAGACAACATCAAGGTAAAAAGACTGTTCCAACTTTTATCTGAGCCTAATTTGCACAAGATGAACTATCCCAACCAGGAGATCTTACAACACCTTCAGTTCTCCTGTGAAATATGAATTTTCATTTCCACCTACGAGAAATTTTACAATCTTTGCATTTCTCCTATGCCTGAGAGAAGGGTGTGTGCGCCTGAAACCTTGCAAATAAAGATTTTTTTTTGCAACTATCTAGTTGATCTAATAAAAGATAGCACCTCTGCCACGAGTTCTGATCCCTTTTGCCTCTTGACCAATATGACTACAACCTGCATCCCACTTAATTTTGGTGTTTTGTTACATAATTAAAAGCTGCAACAGAAACAACTGTAAAAATACCTGGGGAATCATCACCATAACTAAACCATTGCTTCTGCTCTGTCACTTACCCGAAACTCATCCAGCATAGGGTCTTCTGCCTGCTTCAGATAAGATAGGTCGAGACGACGCTGATAATCTTCTAAATGCTGGAAGAGACATGATGAAGCCATTCACATTGGTTCGGGTTAAACTCAAGAGTCAAAATGGATAGGAGATCATTTGAAATTCAACAGGCTCACAGGGGCTTGGGACCCCAGCTCCACTAGCAGCACAGAGATCCACCAGAAGACAAGTCTCACTCCCTCAGCCACAGAGCTAGCCATTTTGGAGGTCTCCAGCATCCTGGCTGCTTTTTTTGATCCCTCCATTTGCCCACACTTGTTACTAGCTTCCCTTTCTTCTTACCTGCTTGTTCTCCGACTCTTTGACAGCTTGGTTCACATAGTTAAGGATTTGACGGCAGTGATCCGCTGCTTTCTTCACTTTCTCCTTCTCCTCAGGCAGTTCTACAGGACAAGACAATAAAGGAAAGATGGGAAAGGATGAAAAGAGGTAGCAAATCTAATGGATCATGCCGCCTGTAAATTCGAGGAGACTGTGTCCACAAAACAGTCAGTGCACATGCAGCATTTCAGAGATTAACAATAGAAACAGGTTCATGGATGGCAGCAATATGGGTCTGGATCCTCCCCAGGCCATAGTTCTATAATATTGATGTATTTAACAGAGGCAGAGTTTTGAAGCCCTAATAAAACTGACAGTTAAGTTGCTGGATAACCTTTCTGGAAAGGTTATCCACTAAATTAATTCCAGGTCAAAGAGAACTTTGAAGTGTGTGAAAAAGTTGCTAGAACTCCACTGCGGTTCCCAGGGTAACTGCACGAGAGAGATTTGGGCGAGGGGGAAGAGAAAGCAACTAGAATCTTTTTTAATCTCTGGCTAAAATTTAAAGAGGCAGAGGAGTTAGCTCAGAGGACAGCATACACCATCAGATAAAGCTACTAGGGTTTTGAAACTAATATGGAAGAGGGATACATTGTTAACTGAAAGTATAATGTGATTAAAAATACTGGAACATGCAATATAAAAACAACAGTAATTTAATTCTATAAAGACATGCATTTAAAAAAAAATTAATAAAAAGGGGGTCAAAATGGGATTTCATGCAAACATGGAAGTGGTAATATTCCCTAGACCTTAGACTTTTATTTTACTTGCTTAGAGTTAAAACAAATATTTTCCCCAAGCTACAAATCAGAAGCAACAACCTGCAACAACAGCAGGACTAAAATTGTGAGTCCAATGGGCACTAAAGACAAAGGCATGATTGTGTCTACAGATGCACATGAAAATTCTCACGTACTGGAAGGAAGGTCAATTATAACTGTTTTTCCATTTGCAGACAGGTACAGCAAGAAGAACGGCTCACAACCCACTCTTAATTGTACTCACAGTCATCTGGTAGGTATAGTGGTTTTTAACTTAAGCAATGAGATGTCACTGCAGTTAGTGTCTTCTATTAAAACCTTTGCTTAGAAGGGTATGTTGTAGGATTACCAATGAGGTTTGTGCAGTTTCCAGGTAGTGCATTATACAGAAGTACAGATTAGCTAGGTTCTGCTCTGGAGGTGTATGTACACATGACAGCCCTTTGAAGATTGAAAGGGCGATAAGAATAGCAATATTAAATTACCCTTCTATCAGCACCCACTGCTAGGAGAACATAGGTAACATTTACATTATTTCCGCCACCTTGGCTTTACCGTTACAGGCACCTTAAAAAGGCTCCAGTGGAAATTTAATTTGGGTTTGTTTTTGTTTTTTTGTTTTTAAACAGGCCAGTTTTAGATCTTGTTTTCTGAATAAGTACGTTCTCCTCACAGGAAAAGGATATTGCACAAGGAAACCCTGGGTGGCAGGAGACATGCTGTGTACCAGAGTGTACCGTTTCAAATCACCAATAATTAATCATCATCCAAATCAACAGGCAGGGAACCTTGATTTGAATCTTTCATTTTCCCTTTTGCTTTGCATCTGCAGTTTTTAGTTACTTCCCTACAGAAAAGTTGATTTTTTGGGGTGAGTACCAATAAAACATACTGATTTGCATCATATAAAGCCTGACACTAAAGGTGGTAGTCTCTTGCTAGTTAAGGTAGCTCTCTGCACATATGCATTCCAATTATGCAGCTTAATGTACTTTTATTCAGATTAATTTTCACATTTTTGAGGAGGGAAGAAGTTATTGACAGTGGATTTCTTTAATTAGAAGTTTTTTCTTCTTTTTACTCTGGTTCCATATTCTTACATTGGCACTAGCATTTTGACTCTCTCTCTTTGACTTTGACCATAAACTATGCTACTTGATTTCTTTTTTCCATTTAAATGTTTCTAATAGAGTATTATAGATTTAGACTTTTAAAAAATTATAATTTATTATATAAAATATGTTTATTACTTAAAAAGGAAAAAAATTAAAATGAAATTCCAAATTAGATTCCCTTCCCTCAAAACTCCCCCCCAATTTTTTATCCATCATGCTGTACAACAGAAAGGAAAGAGGTTATGCTGAAACCAGTCGTGGACACATGGCAAAAAGCAAGCTGCAAGCAGACCTCTTTATGGGTCCGATGTGTTTGGCAAAACAGCCGTGACACACTCACAAAGCCAATGGCTCCCCTGTCCAAATGCTCTACCTGAATACTTAGCAATACTATCCAACAGAAGGGGGTATTTAGTCAGTCTCTGCATCTCAGTGGGAATGATATCCTTCAATTGCAACCGGCGACACAGCGGATTACTCTCGGCATCCTAAAATTAAACAGCATAATAACTGCATTTGTCATTTTTATTAAGACTATAATTACCTGAACATGTACCATCTATTCATCATATAAACGTCTATTACTTCACTTTCCGGTAATTAAATACAAGACAAGAAATGCCAAGATTTATCACTCAGACAACATGGCCCCGTTTCATTTGCAATTACATATAGGAAAGGCTCATCACAAAAAGCAATGCCTTCTCTCCCTCATTACTTCACACAAGCCCGGTGCCATCTGCTATCAATCTCAGCCAGTGCCATACACAGAAGACATCAACTTAGTCTTTCACGGTACAGCAAAGCTACACTACATATTTCAAAATCACATCAGCCCGGTATTACCAGGCTTGCTTTCAGCCAGTGGCGGAGCAAATAACGTTCTCCTCCCGACATGCCGCACATGATGAGGCCTTGTCCCAGAGGGCAGGGGCAATCCCCATACCTCTCTTCTACCCACGGCACACTCCACCCCACCATTTGCCCCACACAAACTCCTTCTCCATGGGACATGTTCACAGCGTAAAAAACTGATGATGCTTCCCTCTCTCCAGGCACTCTAATCCTCTGTGTTAAAAGTTCTCCCCTCCAGAAACAATTAAAAGGGAGAACTCGGTGCAGGAAATAATCCCAATCTAGCGAGTGTTAGACATAACCCCGCTCATTATGACAGCCTTACCTACAGCCCTCTTATCCTAGCCACCAGCCAGGTCTGACACTGCCCCAACTCCTGAGCAAAGCTCACCTGCACAAAGGTCTGGAAGCGCGAGTCCTTCTTCTGCCGTGATTTGATCACCTCTAAAGCAAAGGGCTGGTTACTACAGAAGGTGGCTGCTGCATGTTTCAGGTTCTCCTCTCCTGGTCCGCTGAACTGTGCCAAGAAACCAACAAAGTCACATTTAGACACAAACCAGCCAGGCATGTGGGACTGTAAGGCACCGGTCAGGGCAAGGACACAAAGCTATTCTGCTGCTGAGTCAAAAATCAGCCTTGTTGAGAACAAATGCAGTTACCCAACTTGAATCCCAAGTGATCAACTGGACTGAGTTTGACTTTACACACAGGGCTGGAGGCTCCTGTGAAGCCATTTCGTTGGACCACTCACTACAAGGTCCCAGAATTTCACGTATGGAGCAATCCTCTCACTCAGCCTCCTGGAGGGAAATCTGAGTGCAATAAGCAGGGCTGATGGATGCAAGAGGCTCTCTTGTTCATGCACCTTTACTCCTTGTCCCTGGCATGCACTTTCGAGATAGCCTAGGATCCTCTGAACATGCCTACACTTTAGAAGGATTTCCAATTTTTATTCTTTCTTACAAAGCTTGAAGAAATTCAAGGTCCTAATGACCAGCCAGCTTGTGAGTGCGTGTGCATGCACACGCACACACACACACTTTTGGTGGATTTTCCAAATAGAAATATCAGGTCTTGATTTCCTCCTCCTTCTGGACGACTTGAGAACTAAAAGGATTAAATCCTGCCAAGAGATTGAAATTTGACCATACGTAAAAAAGATGTTCAAGTCCAAATTAAACAGGGTTATTTAAAACACAACTGAATTGACCCTTGTGGGAGCAGTATTTTTAACGGTTTAAACAGACTCCTGGTTCTTTCTGCATGGGCCTCCATGACAGATCTCGAGTCTTGTTAGGAATCCTCCATTAAACACACCAGAAATACAGGAGCTTCTTCTCACCATCTCCAAACATTTACGTCATCCTACTTTCCCCCTCCAACCCCAGAAAACCCCGTTTCTTTCCACAGGCATGCTACCAGTTTTCTGCACTTTAGACAACATTTAGGAGAGGGGGGGGGGGAAAAAAAAAAGACTAAAAATTCTACCTCTGCATGCAGGTCACCTTTAAATGAAATAACTCATTTATCTTTAATTGAATGAATAAAACATTCATCTTGCTAATACTCCATGCTGGGCTCCCTCCGTTCTATGTCCCCAGCTCCTTGTTAGCTCTACAGAAATGATGGATTTCAGATATTAAAAGTTGTAGCAAATGCAAATTACGCTGGTCACCGTGTGGCTGTATTTACCATTTCACTGGACTCTTGCTTTCAGGAATATTTACCTTTCAGGATAAGAAAAAGAAATTCAATTTACCCAAGTTAGTAAGTCCTCTCCAATCTGATCAATAACTGATGTCTCATTCCTTTTTCGGACACTTTTCATCTGGTCATTCAAGCCGGCTAAAAAAAAGATGGTAATAATTAATATAACACAACATTCTAGCTTACCACGTTTGCTGCTCATTTTAAAATGAAAACTATTCCAAAGGGAGACTGGATTTGTAATTATTTTATGCAAGAAAGTCATACAACTACAAACACAGATCAATAAAAAAAACCCATGAACAATAAAACCGTTTGTATTTCTATGTGCTGCCTGTTGTTTTAGGGACCTCCACAAACTTTTCCAACATCACTTACCCACTTCAAAAGGTGATGCAAGGTTCATTCTTCATGTGTTTAATGCGTGGGGAACAGAAACAGAGCAAGCGGCAAACAGGATGTAATCCTAAGTCACTCAGCCAATGAGTTAGGGGCAGGGATGCAGATTTGGCTCTTGGCAGACCCCTACTATACCTATTACTGGACCTTTCAGCAGTAGCAGTAGCCAAAGACTTACTGATCCCTTGTGTAGCTGTCTACAAATTATTCTCTTCATTAGTATCTGTCTGGTTAGTTTTTGAGCATGTGCCTAAGAGCAGTCACAGAAACTGTCTCTATGACAAAGTGGATGTACACAGAGAGAAGGCAAGCTTGAGGAACCAGATGAAAATGAGCAGGCATTCAGCACCGTGGAAATAAACACTTCTGAGCCATTATACATATAAGCCAAGAACAAAGAGTGTGGGTATTTGAACATGGGAATACACCCCTTAGCAATCCTATCCAGTCAAAGCCCTGTGCAGACATCCACTGTTTAAGGGCCACCTGTACGTCGAATACTTCTACCAGCCCATGGTTATTTCAGTTTTGCACATGCAGTATTACTATTGCGAGCCACGTGCGGCTGTGCTTACTATGGAGCAGAAGGATGTCCTCCAGGTTGGAAAAGATCTTCCGCAGATCTGAGGGAGTGAGGATCCCTTCACGGGAGACACGCTGGTAGAAGACCTGATGCAGAACCTTCAGCGTGCGGACATGAGCTCGCTCTGTGTAAAACAGCTCTGAAGAAAAAGGAGCAAGGCAGGATCAGTATTATTGCCTCTGCACAGTGCTACAGTGCAGATACAAACAGCCTAATGCTGGAAGCCTGGATCTGCCAGGACTGACTGACTTTACGAATTACGTTTGAGAAGTAGAAATTTGTTGCGGAGCCAGACACTGGAACCTGTGGAAATCACTTGTCCCATCAGAACTCTGCCTGCCAGGCCAGATTGAGCGTGCTCAGGAATGAGGAACCATGCTCTGCTATCTGAGTGCAGGAGCTTATAATTTATCCCAACTAGATAGTTCACTCTTGGCAATTCACTCCATCTCACACAGAGCTCCCCAGACCTGTAGGATCTGAATCAAAGGGAAGTCCCGGAGTGTGACACCACAGGAGGTAGGTCTCCTTCACTCCCTCCACTCTCCCAGCACGATGTAAGCTAACCCATCATATCCCTCAGCCTGCTGCTTACTACCATGGATTAAATGCATGTCAGTAGCCTGTACATGCTACGAGTTTGCAGGCTGGAAAAGACAGCTTGTTCCTAAATCAAGCTGTCAAGGTGATGAAAGTGCTAATCATAAGTTTGAGGAACCTTATGGGTTCCTGGGCTCCAAGAAGCACAGCCACAAGAAAGCATTTGAACTCACCGTTAATCACTTCTTGGCGTTTGATTTCAAACGGTTTCAGCCCCAGCAGCAACTCTCGACTCACAAGCTGCTGCCAGTTGGGAGGATCGGTGTCTGTATCAAAATCATACAGTTCATCCTCACTTTGGACATCTCCATAGCCCATGCTCTCCATCCTACAAGGACACAGAATACTAGTCAGACACTTTCAGTCTCAGACAGGGGAAGTAGAAAGAACATTTGTAAAATGCTCTGACAAAACCCTCAGACTTCCGGGTCCACTACAGTCTGGAACCTGACACAACTAGAGACCTCAAATCCTAGTGCTCATTCTCATGAACCCCCTCTTCCCTCCCCCAACTCTCAGGACTGTAATCCCTACTTTTAAAACAGTAAATGATGGGATGAACTTCTTTACCAGAGGTCAAACAGCAACTCAGCGGAAGCAGAAGGGAGCAGGAAAAGTTTGTTCCTTTTCCCATCTGCAAATCCTGAGATAACGATACCACTCAAGCAGTGCCTAGGATTCCCAATCCAACAACTGTTAGCAGAGGTAATTATACCTAGTGCTTTTCACCCATGGATCAATGTTCCTAAACTATGAACGTGCTGTATTCAATCTGGACACCAATGCGGCATTTCATAAACATGTTATTTGAGTACAGGATAATTACCTAGGTCACTGAACCTAGCAATCTAGCCCCACTCAAATCATTTACACCCCCGAGCCCTACTCTAGAGCAAAACAAACTCTTCAGTTCACACAAATTGATTACTATACTCACTTGCGGAAAGGTTTTGGTGTTCCCAACTCAGCTGTTCTAAAAAAATAAAACAAACAAAAAACGCCATTATGAAAACACATGCGAGTGTAACGGGTATCCACTCTGGGCCGACCTTAATGTGTCCCGTGCACCTGTTCCTGGGGGCAACCGCCCACCTACTCTCCTGCCATGCCTTGTTGATAATTGATTAATGGGTATTAATTAGCAGGAGGCTGCCCTTGTACTGCCCCGCTGCCAGGGGGCGCTATCTGCGGTTCCGTTTCCTCCCCTACACCGCAGTCCACACCTCGCCGATGGAATCGCCGTTGTCTCAATTCTATCATTATTTGGCCCCTTCCTGTTCTCCCTGGGCCTTCCTCCCTTTGACGCACCCGCCCTCCGGTGCTAGGGCGCTCCCCGGCCCCATCTCACTCTGTGCCCTCTTCTCCGGGGCCTTATCTACAATGCTGCCCCCTCCCTGGGGCCTTCTCTGTGATGCTATGCCCTCTCTTGGGCTTACCTCGCCCGCACTGGGGCTTCCCAATAATGCTGCCCTCTCCTGGGGCTCTCCATGCCCTCACTGGGGCTTCTCAATAATGAATACGGCCCTCTCCTGGGGCTCTCCATGCCCACACTTGGGCTTCCTAATAATGCTGCCCCCTATCTGGGGCTCACCGTGCCCAACTTGGGCTTCCCAATAGTGCCCCCTCTCTGGGGCTCACCACGCCCGCACTGGGGCTTCTCAAAATGCTCGTCTCTGGGGCTGGGGTCTATGTACCCTGTACGCTGCACCCCTACTGGCGCTGGGGTCCCCACGCTACTGTGGGTCCTCTATGAGGCCTCCTCCAACCCCTAATAGCCTCTCCCAAACCACCGGTCTCGTAACAACAACAAAACACAAGCCCCTGGGCTGTAACATAAATTAAAGCCGCCCGGCTAAAACATCCGTGCGGCCTACCGGGGAACACTTCTTCCCTCAGCAGTGTCAAAACGCTGCTCCTGTAGTCAGGCCTCAAGAGAGTTCCTTCCCCTTGGGCTGCTGGCAGAGAACTGCCTCTGGCCTCCGGTCTGTGCTTTATATAGGAGCCAGGCCCTGCCCCTTTCAGTCAGCTGACCTCCTGGTTGCCCTGGCAACCCCCAGCTGGGCTCCTTAGTCACTGCTAGGGCTCCCTCCCTAGCAGTTTCCCCTCTTCAGGAGCAGGGCACCTCCGTGCTCTGTGACAGCGAGCAATGGGATTTTGCTCTGTTCAGACACATAACAGGCTCCAGAGTGAAATCTTAAAGATTAAATTTGCATCCTTTCAACTTTACGTTTGCATCTTTGTGGTGTACAAGGTGCTTGCTGCAAATACAGTGGAAGGAAAGCAGAAGGTCAGAGGGCACCATCCTCTCTTCCCTCCATTAAGGTCCCAAAAGAAGCTCTGCTGCTAGTGAAGATCTACAGATCTACTACATTAACTGCCTTGCCAGCCCAATAACCTGTGACAATTACCTCTCAAGTTCTCCCTCCTCTTCCTGCAAGTGGTCCAGGGGTGGGGAAGGGAAGTCAAAGGTGGCATTAGGTGTGCGGGGGGTGCCATCCACAGAGTCACTAGACGGTGGAACTTCTCCAGTCTGCTTGGGACCTGAAACAAGAACGGCTCAGTTTCCAGGGGCTGCACAACACCAGTACTTGTGCAGCCAAGTCTGACATACAGCTCTCCTCTTATCCAGAGGGGGAGAAAAATCAAGAACTGGTCTCAGAAAGCAGCCCTAAACAGAGAAATATTTGAAACCCTGCAGCCTAATGTTTCTACAGGACTGAGTACTTGAGCAATGAAGTTAGGGCTGTTTCTTCTGCAAAGTTGATCAAATGCTGTAGTAATAAAAAGCAATTCAGAAACCAATTTTGCATCACAGTGAGGTTCCCAGATCTGAGAACAGTGACAGGTCACCACAGACCAGTGAACACCAAGAGCCACAACGTGTCATTAATTGCAGAGGGCCTCACTGATCAATGCTACCACCGTTCCCTTGAACTGGGACTGAGCTTTCTACAACCCATCCATGACATCATTGCTACTCCCTTTTTCCAGCATTGTCTTTACCTGTCTCACTATCTTTGCTTGCCTCCAGGGAGGTAAAAGGTCCCGAAGTCAGGGGAGACATAGGATTAGCAGTTGGGTATGCTACATCTGTGCCATCGCTGGAAGATCCACTCTGGCGTGTTTTGCCAGAGTCTGGTGGCTCTGGGCTAACAGAAGAGGTTGTGGATAAGTACTTTGGATGACGCTGCTTCTGCATTTCCATGGCTCTGCCAACTGAAGAGATAAAAGCCAGTTAGACAGCTGAACAGTTTTACCTGTCTCCAGAAACCCAGCAGGGGGAAAGCTCCTCGGGGAGATCTCAATGAATAATTTAATTAGCTTGTCTTAAAAGACAAAAAAAACCCCCAAAAACCCTCTCAAATTGAGTGGGTTTCTAGTTAATGAATGGCTATGCATGCTCCTGGGCAATAGTGATGTCTGTAGCCAATACACAAAAATACGGCGTACATGGAAGGCACCTGAGGAAAATGTCAAGGTCTGGCTGGCTTTTCACGACACACATGCAACACATCTGTGAACAGGCAGATGGACCGACACGGAGGTATTAGCAGAGGAAACACGAGCTTCACAATCTGACATACTTGCACTACTGTCATGGCGACTCGGTCTTCTCGGCGGCCCCAGGATGCTAGGGAAACCTCTCCTCTTCACCTTTTCCTCCCCTTCTTTCTCTTTCTTTATACTTTGCTGCAGAAGAAACACCACAAAAAGAGAAACAAATGGGTCCCTTCTTCCTCCAAACTCAGTTCCTTGAAATGCTGCATCCACTGATTCTCGGCCTCACTGAGGTCTGAGAGAGGAAAGGCCTATTCACTCTGGGTGTCGAACTCTCTCGGTACAGGACTATCCACAACAGGATTAATGTTTCCAAAGGGATCTGCACTCTCCACTTGGCTCTTTCCTTTTTCACGTCCTTGTCACAAGGTATTTAGCAGAAATTGCAGATTTTTTGGAATCTGACAGTGCTCAAACTTGCAACCTCTGGGCTGTCAGCCATGTGTCTTACTGCCCACAGCACCCCAGCCCTCTCTCCAAGAGGTGAGAAGGAATAGGTGACTAAAGAACACAGACTTGAAATGCTGCCTCTAGAAGACTGTTGCGGCGCCACGAACTCACTGGACTGATCGGGAGGGCATTACGGGGAAAGAACTGAGACCTACAACTGGTGCTCTGTGAATGGCAGGAAGAGGGAAGGTTTGGCTTCTTTTTGAAGCATCAAGTGCTAATCACTATTAAGAGAGGATAGGCTATAGAGACGCAACATTTCATTTGGATAAAATAAGACTTATTAAGAAGCAAAGTAGGTTCTTGGATTTATTTCCTTACCTGGAGATTTTACAAGGCTGGAAGTATGAGGAGACACTGATTAAATTAAACAGTCTAATAGGATAGGAGCTTTTTCACATACAAGTGTCTGAATATGGATAGACACTTGATCTTGGATGACACTGAGTCACCACAGTACCCCTTCAAATCATTGGAGGCTGTAGACACCCAGCACCAATGGAAGTCACGGTCACTTCAATTTAGGCACACAAGTATGGATTAAGGAGCCTCATTGTTGGCACCCACACTTGAAAATGGGGGACAAAACACTGGCCATACCACCATTTACCTTAATCTTTGGCAGGAAACCAATACGTCCACGCTTCTGCTCCAGACTCCGGGGCTCTTTGACTCTCACCCCCAAATATTTCATGTAGGTGAGAATCACATACTGCATGGTGGAACTGCAGAACACAAGCAAGGAAAAGCAGGCAAAGTAAATTTGAGTAAAAACCTTAAACTGTCAAAGCCTCCTAAGGAGACAGAGTAGGAAGGTTAACAACTGATTTTTCTAATCAAAAATCTCCTTAGGCATTAGGGCATCAATTTGCCTCTCTCAGGTCTTTCCAGATGATGGAAAAGACCTTAGTCACTCACGAAATCTGCCTTCTTGCAAGTGCAAAACAGACTCCTTGATCCAAAGCATGTGCCAGTCAGTGGGGAAAACTTTGGCAATTTAGAAAATGACTCAGAAATTCTGGAGGCAGCAATAACTTAAATATGTATTTAAAACTGCAACGTGGCTGAGTGTCAGCTGTAGTAAAATCCATCCAGATGGAGCAGTGATCTGCTGGGACTGAGCTCTCGGAGCACATGCTTGAGAAAGGAGGTTTGTGCTACAACCAGCAGAGGGCTGCCTTGTCCCATTCACAAGAAGTCTCAGGCTCCACTACAAGCATGAGCACTTTGACCCTTTACCACAGGGGAGAAGGGATGCTTCGTCATACACTAATGGCACAGAACTGTTCCCTTACCTCTTATCCTCTTCCAAAGGTTGAGATGACACCCTGAAAAACAAGAAAGTTGCATATCAGCGAAGGAACAGGTGACAACAATCCACCCCAGCACCACCCACCTGTACAATATCCCTCTGTATCCCACCAAACAGCTGGTGAAAAAAAAAAAAAAAATCAGTGGGGAGAATGAGTACAACTTTCTTAAAAAGGCTTCTCTCATTCCTTGGAGTCTCAGAACAGCACAGACTCCCTATGCCTGAAGAAGGGTGATTGCGCCCAAAAGCATGCAAATCATTTTTTTTCCCAACTACTCAGTTGGTCTAATAAAAGAGATCACATCTACTCAAAGAGCCTTGCCTGTCTATGTCCTTAGTCCAGCACAGCTACAACCAAAAACCCAGCACTTTCCTAAAATCTCACTTCCAAGACTGCAAGCATCTACAAGTCAACAAAAGGGGTTCCCAAGCTATCTGACACTACAAATATTACTGCCAGCAGCTCTGGGTTTGCTATGAGGCAAGTGCTCCAGGTATAATCCAATCCATAGTGCAAAATACCTGGGGATATTTCTCTCTGATGGTTTTCTCCTGGTCATCATCATATTGATGGCAATCCACCTGCTTGCCAGATGCCAAGTAAGGAGGAGGTAAAAGGTGATAACAATGAGCTGTTTCTAGTTCTGACTCCTTTCCTCTACTTCTATCAAGACTCAAGTGAGTGTCTGTACCACCCCACCTCCTCCCCCACAACAATCCCTGCTACTTACAGAACTTCTTCAATTTTGGCAATTATCTGCTCTGCACATGCTCTCTCCTTCTCCAGCACGCTCCGGTCACGGACTCGTTCCGCGTCCAGCTTAGTCAGTTCGCCCTCTGCCAAGGTCAGGCCCATGCTACGTTTCTGTCTGAAATAGGGCAGGAAATAACCTCATGAAAGAAAGCACCTGGAGGTGAGCAGAAGCAGCAACTAATCTCCCGGCATTCAGAAGGCTCAAGACATGTCCCTGGGGTTCCATTTGCAGACCAGCTACCAAAACACTTCATGGCCTTACAAGTCCTAGTAATCTATTGCTGCACTTGCATGAGATAGCCATGGTTTTACAAGTGCAGCATCCTGCATACACAAAGGAGATGGGAAAATTTTGGCTGGGGGGAGGGGAGCAACGGAAAATCTGACCCAAACCCATATACTACAAAAAGCATTTTAAAAGCCCAGAGTGAGCGTAAGGAATCATGGATCATCAGAGAGCTGATCACAGAGAGCAGGATAAATAAGCAAGTTCCCAAATTCTGAAATATACCCAGGATAACATTCCAATATGGAAGATTTCCCACAAAAGAACCTGTGCATATAAAACAGGCCATGAATGAGTTTTGGAAGCAATATAAGCAGAAGAATGCTGAGGTCCTGGAACAGCCTTCCAATAGGCCTTTTGGCCCCTCTATTCCAAACTACTTTCAAGATGGAGCTTAATAAAGTTTATGACAAGAATTGCAGGTGATGTGGTCACCTGTATTGGCAGGGAATTGGACTTGCTGATCCAGGAAGCTCTTTGCAGTCCTTTGTTTCTGTCCAGGCCAAAAAACATGAACTACCATGTCCTAAAAGTTTGGACTTCTCTCCATATTAAACAAGGTGTTAACTCAGAGCTGGCACACAAAGCTGAATACTGAGTAATAGCTATGGGAAAGAGCGTAGATACCTGAAGTCTTCCAAATTCCTCTGGACCTCTGGAAGGACTTTATCTTGCATAGTTAGGATGTAATGGCGGTGCAGCTCTTCTGGAATGAGTTCTGGCCGCCTCTTTTCTGCAGGTCAGAGAGAGAAAGAAGCATTTCACTTTGGAACAGAGAGTCACTGGGCATTAAAGTAAAAGAAATTTGCAGATACATTCACTCCACTCAGCATGACCTATAATCTCCTGCTGTCTAACATATAAACCAAAGTTCAATAAGGACCAGCAGCTTCAGTTATGTCCAATGCTACACTACATAAATACAGAACTGAGGGACCCAAACCTCTGCCAGCTGGTGCACATACAAGAACACAGTATGTTCCCCCCACACACCCATACAGCCAGCTTCTTGTCTCCCAAATCTGACACGTAATGGATTTATACACCTCACAGACATGTACACAGGCACATACCCCCCACCCTCCATGCCAAAGCCCTTTTGAGAGATTTGCTACAATTGTCTCCGACACCAGGACCCGGGCCAGTGGACACCCACTGTAAAATGACCTTACCTAGATCTACAGAAACTTCATCTGGAACTGGGACCTTCAGGTTCTGTAACCAAAGCAGGCATTAGAACATAAGGCCATACACAACAGACTTTCCCAGCACCGTGCACATACCCGAGACCTTTAAAGCACAGGCTGATGAAATCACTTGCAGAAATCCTGAAAGCCATTTCTTCCCTTTGTCACATGTAGTAGCATTGCTGTTACTTGGTGGTATTTTGGAAGTGTTTCACTTGGTACCATGCTGGCCCCTGCTGCAGGGGGGGACTGGGTTTTGGAGGACGAAGTCCATTGATCAACCCATTGCAAGGAACTCACACCGTTACAGACAGACCCAATTCCCAGATCATTAGCAAGAGCTGCACCAATTGTAAACAACAGGAATGAACTCAAATGTGATTGCTCGAGTTTCCTGGACACTCCAAGCTCGCTGTGCTACCCATCACCTCATCTCGAACTCAACCCCCTTTCTGATGTGGATTTGGGACAGCCTATGGCTCCGAGGTCAGGTGCAGCTTAGGTTCAGAGCTAAGATTTTAAACAACGAACAAGAGTAGAACACAAGATGTTCTTGTGCCTTTACACAGACTTGGGGGAGGGATAGTTAAAAAAGGAGGATAGCAGGGGAAACAAACCCGCTTTGAATTGTTTATAAGCTTGCTCTGATTTTTCTGATTTCTGGGTAGCAATGACTCAGCAACAGAATCAGCTCAGCCAATGCATTCATTTTGAATCAAAATCCTATTCTATAATCAGCAGAAGTAAATCTCGGCCTGACCAACCAGAAATGGTCAGGGGGGTCAGACTCAATGTTGGGGGTCAGACTCAATGATCTGTTGAGGTCCCTTCTGACCCTAGCATCTATGAAACAGCATTGGGAAGCCACCCATTGCAAGCAAGGGCCCTGAGCATTAGGTGAAGCACTAATCAACCTGCACTAAGGAGGTCCTCCTGACAAAGAGTGTATCAGCTCTAAACCCCAGTCACAAACAGCAACTCCATTTTACCTTTTTATAGTGCCTCGGCTTCTCTGAAAAGCAGCTACCTCTAGTGTCCAGCAATAAAAAACCAGAGTACGAACAACTGCACAAAACATGCAAAGTCAATTCCCAGGGAAATTTGACCAGAGATACCATGACAGATGCCTACCAGTATAAAAAGGGTCAGGGGGCTTTTTAGTGCAGCACAGGCAGGGTCTATGCGTTTAAACAACACAAAGAATAGACCTACCCAAGGAACCTGAAGGGCCAAGTCCACTCTGCCTGGATGTGAAATTTTGGCTCAAGTGTCTGCCTGTCTAAGCCCATTATTTAAATCAGTCCAGCATACCAAGGCAAGGAAGGTAAAATCTGCTGCACAGGGGAGAGAAAAGGCATGTCTTATTTGGAACCTACCGCAGCTCGGTCCAGGAAGAACTGGTTAAACTCAAGGAAGACACGACGAGTCTCTTTGGAGTTGGTCTGTTTGTACAAGTCCGCATAGAGATAGCAGAGCTGGAAAGGAGAATAAAGACAGTGAGAACTCTTCAAATGCTACCTCTGAATTTCTTTCCTGATGGTTAGAAGAGGTATGCCACTCAAAGCTCCTGTTTCTGAGAGGAAGCTCACAATATGGCCATGCTGAAGAGACAAGCAAGACTTTTAGCAGCCACTTCATCCAACATTTACCTACGTTTGTTCAAATTCCCTGTGCATGCAAGAGCACTGAACTCTCACATGCACAGAGCTGCAGTTCTCATCACCAAACCAACGTTATCAGTGTCACTGTCTGTGTTAAGTTGTGTAAGAAATTACCCAAAAACTCAATGCTTCAAATTTGCGCCACTTGGTCTTACCAAGGCTGCAGGGTCAAACTGGGACACCACGTGATGCAGGAACACAGCTAGATGAGCTGGGCGAGACTTCAACAGCTCCATGTTTTGGAAACAGCTGCACTGCCCATTAATCTGGAAAGATACAAACAGCTTGTGTCAAGTCGTGGACAAAGGCCTGAAAGAAAACCAGAAGGTTTCTCATTCGCTCACTAAGCCAAGGAGCAGAGTAAGAGCAACTCCAACATCCACAGTCTGTCACTGTTAGCAGGAGGAACTCAGGACCCTCTCCCTATTCTTTTCAGTACAGTTCTGTGCGTTAAATGCTTTATAATGAAATATAATCCAAGGCAAATGACTACTAAAACCATTACAATAAATACATTAAAAGCTAGGCTGTAATACTGCTGTGGCTATAATAGAAGCCAACTAATGAGAAGAAATTAAATAAGGCAGATTAATTTCTAGTCAGGTTACAATGACATTCAAGAAGAAAGGGTAATGGAAAGAATGATGCGTTTTAGCACAGACCTTGGAAGTGCCACTTGCTGTTACACAAGGACGGAGTGAATTGTTTCCCCCCGTTTTTAAAATATTACATTGTTCAGGTAAGAACTGCGTGCTAAAAACGTGCCATTAAACATTTGTGATGCAATGAAAGAAGAAGGGATTAGCTGCAGCTGCCCCCAACACCAGAGGTGGGTTTCTGATAGAAAGTGTTGGTCCCAAACCTGCTCGTGTTCAGTGTCAAAGTCGTCATCCTCTGCTCCGATGATCTGAGGTGCCACGCGGGAGGAGGGGCTCCCAACACTGGACTGTGAATCCTGCAGTAGGTTGGAAAGGAAACATATGCAGGATGCAGTTACTCTCTTGAGAAAGGCTTCTTTCCTCCAGCACCAGTTTTGAGAATGAAAGGCCTTAATATCCTTGACAGTCACCCTTGACGCTGACCAAAGTCTACTGTCTTTATTACCAATTTTTTCCCTGCATGGCGAGATATCAGGGCATTGTTGCAACGTTCCCCTCTTAAATATCAATTGCTCTGAAACATCATAACTGAAAGGTTTCACATTCAACTCTGTGGCCTTCTGCTCTCTGAACACGTCACCCTGGGAGGTATTTCTAAACATGGCAAGCAGGGGGCATGTGCCTAGTAGCTTCTCTCTGCAAACAGAAACATTTGGTTAAAGAATGAGGCCATGAGAGTGGATGGGAGAAGGGAAACCCTTCCGACTTGTCCTCAGTGAAACACTGTTGGCTCAGGCAGCATTGCCAAAAGGTTCGTCAGGTCACATCCCAGATGGTCCCAGACCTAACAGTGACTCAGTGCTGCAGGATGAAAAGGTTCTCCTCTATTTAGGGTAGGGGACAGGGAATAAGACTTGTGACAGCTCCAGCCGTTGGAGACTCAGGTGTTTTACTGCAGATTAGGTATTTCTGATCCCTTAATGGGCTCACTTTCAAGCTCCATAAACATTTATTAATTAATTAACACTTCCTGTGCAACTCTTAATTGCATTTTATTTTTCTAAAGCCAAGTCAATTTATATCCAATTTAGAAAACAGGGAAAACAGCAAGATTTTAATGGGCCCATTAGGAGTAGAATCCACTGTTACGCTTTGTCTGTTGAACTCACAGTATCCTGAATTTCGCTCTTCTCTGGGCTCTCATCCAGGTAAACTCGCTCCTTCAGGCCACTCCGAGGACTCTGGGAAAAGAGAGAGAGGCAAATCTGATGAGTGTTAGGCCTGGAAAAAGAGGAACTGGTACAACAATGTCCTTGCACTACAATGGACAGAACGGCACATCGGTCCCAGTCGGGCTACTAAAAACCTGGCAGAAACAGGCAAGAAATGCTAAACTCTAAAATCACATGCACACCGTCTCAGAAGAGAGATCGAGGATGTGGTCCAAGGACCTACAGGCAAGGGAACTGTATGAAGAAAACTGAACATTAGTGGAATTATTTCATTACCAAGGCTGCCATCTCAAACGGTAAATTTGACTCTGTCCAGGGCCCTCAGACTAATGCTGCATTACTACCTAGTGACAGCAAGTCTGGACTTTTTCCACCCCCTCCCGCTCCACATGTTGTGACATGCTGATAATTTGGGAGTGACACCTGGCCCCTCTAGGGCCTCTAATTTTTGAAACTCCGCCCACAGGCTCTAAATAAGATCAAAAGGAACCAGTGGCAGACCCACCCCATGCCCCCATTAAGGAAATCTTAATTTCCCTGTACTAACCAGATAATGGATTTGTGAAAGATTAGATGCTGAGACAATACAATGAGGGGATCATATTAGCATTCAGATAGCTGATGGGTTAATAAGGAAAGGGCTCTTGCTAACTGCTAGTTAATGGCTGAAGTGTATCTGGGAGGAGGGAGGCTTTCCTTCACCCTTATGGAAACCTGCCCCGTGACTCGATCTGAGTCATTCTAACCACAAACGGAGAATTAACATGTTCTTGAAGATACTGTATTTTTGCGCCTCAATTCTAACAGATGCTGGCATTCCTCTTGCTTTGCCTGGTAACAGGGAGCGTGCCAGAAAAACCCAGCCCCATACAACATGGTATTCCTTTCCCAGTAGGTCAAGTCTCCTCAGAGCAGCATCTTCTCATCTCCCTCAAATCGCTGCACGTGCAACGTAAGTGAGAGAGAGACAACACATCCGGGATGCACAGGGGACAGGGCTGTCAATCTGAAAAGCTAAAATGGGAAAAACAAACCTAGGAGGGCAAATGCGAAGCCACAAAGGTCTCCAACACTTACATCAGCAATGTCACTGTTTGGCCGGGAGCCATCACCACTTGACTCAATTTTGCTCAGCCCTTCCCCACTCTCCGTCTCAACTTCACTGATCTGCAGAGACTCAGCCACTAATCGGGAGGACAAAACTCCATCCTAAAGAAGAGGAAGCACATTGAGAGACAAGCCCAAGCAGCAAACTAGAGTAAGAACTGAACATTAAAAGAAGAAACATTTTATGATAAGCAGGTTCAACAGCAGACCTGCCTGCACGATCTATAAAATATGCTCCCCAGCTTAAAAAAAAAAAATGCTGCAGCATTTTTCTACGAAAAAGGCTCATGAAGCAAGAGCCCCGTCCTCATAACCAGTCTGAAATGGAAGTCACTGGTGTACAGACAATGGGGAAAAAAATCTGTGTTCGTAAACAGCTTTCAATTCAAGTTAAACTTAGTCTGAATTGCAAGGACGTTTTGCAAGGACAGACTGAATTGAAACCGACAGAGGGAAATAAAAAACATAAAGATCAAATTATTAACATGCAATTGCAGCTGCTTAATACTGCCTCTTTGGGGCTCAAACATGGGGAAACATACCAAGATTGTGGATTAAAAGTTTGCCACATGCAGCACCCGTAAGACCGCCAATTTTTCACTAATCTGTAAACCCCATTTCAAAACAGATTCATTCATAGTGTACACAGGCCTTCCGAGAGCAACTATATCTACAGGTTCCATTCTGCTTGTGCAAACAATCAAGGATGTGTGCGCAACCCAAGAGGCTTCTTCCTCAAGCAGCCCTCCCCTGGGCACTCCCAAATCAGATGGACCGCTGCAGACTCTGAATACTCCCCTTACCTGAGGAGAGCCTGTGGCTTTGGACAGTTGCTCCTGCAGCTGAGGGATGTGTTTCTTGGCTTCCTGAATCTCCTTGAGCAGTCGTGGGGTTGGTGTTCGGCTGTAATCTTCCTGCAAGGACTGAAAAGTTGTATGGGCATTCAGTGAGCTCTTCCCCAGCTAGGCCTACAGCTGCAGTCAGTGACTAAGCTTCATTTCACTTTCGTGTCTCTGAAACACTAATTTCTATGCAGTTTGCTCACAGCATAAATGCCATTAGCTGGACTTAGTGGTATGCCTACCGTTGTGGAAGCTGGATGTCGCACCACCTATGTTTTATATAGCCCTCCTGCCTCTGCTCTGCCAACTAACTACAAGGAAAAAAAATTCCCAATAAGAATCTCTTAAAGCAAGTGCTTAACCAAAGCTAAACCTGGGGTCTAATTCTAAGGGGTGCCTAGCAGGAGTGAGGGAGGCTCACATCACTCTGAATTAGAGCAGAGATGGAGCGAGCTGTACGTTAAGAAACCCCTCTCTTTCTTGAAGGAATGGAAGAAGTCTTGAACTATGGAGACCATCAGCGCAAATTGCTTGGCAGATCTCTGTTCGGACGCTGGGGGATAGACCCTTTTTGATGGTCAGGTTACCGAATTCATGGGGCTGATAGAGATGGGACCAATGAAGGATCCAACACCTGGGCCACATTTTCAATCCCCTTTCCCCCACCGTCACCCACTGACCGATACTGCAGTACCTGCAGCTGCTCTTGTTCCTTTTGCAACATCTTTCTCAGAATCTCCACTTTCTGGTTGTGAACAATATTGTTCTCCTCCTGGGGAAAAAGGGAAGAGACAGGGAGAAAATCAAGTTAAGGCACCTGAAAGAAAAAATACAGACACGCTCACTTACCCTCTATTCTGCCCAAGGTCTTGATGAGACTTTCTAAAATACTTAACATTTCCGTTAACACTATCCTACATGATCTATCTCCACCCACTCTTATGGCTGAGCACAACCGTCATGACTTTCGTTTTAAATGAGTGACCAGAAGCACTTACTCATTTCCTCTTTGCTGCTATATGCCTGTGCTTCTTGCTATTTGCATACTAATAGAAATTATGGCCTGGTGGATGCAGGCAGAAACAGAAAGTATGCCTTTACATCATGCACGTCTACTAGTGCGGCTCTACAGGGCTCCCTTGATAATGTAGCCCTGCTGCCTCCACGTGAGTCCAAAGGAACACCATGCTTAGTTGTATGAGGCTTCTTTCACGTGGACAAGCAAGGGCTTACTTGCAACAGTCCGTTTTGTTTGTTGCTTGATCCAGAATTGAAAGAAAGAGAGACCTCCCCTGAGATGAAACATCAATGCATTTTCCTACTGCACAAGCATGGTTGCAGACTGCCCTTAGACTCTTACCCCCATTAATACCGGGCTGGTAATCCTTTCTGCGTTTCCAAACGTGCCAGGCGAATGAGGAGAGGTCATGATGGGTGACATATGCCCGAATGCTGCCGGATCCACTTCGGAATCAGCTAACGGAATCTGGGGCGACCCTGGTGGGCGCCCCTGCACAGTGAGAGCTACATAGGAACCCGCTGTGGGAGGAGGACAAGAGCAATTCACATTTCAGACACATTTACACTCCACTCCTTGTGGTGCTTGCTGCCCCCCCGGACACGAGGAGCAGGCCAGCCTCTGTCAGGATGGCAATTACGGACACCAACGGCAGCAGGGTAGCGTTGCACCTTGAAGACTAAGTAACCCTTCTCACACCAGAGTCTGCATGCAGCTTATCTGTGGAGGACACGTGGAGTGAGCAAAATGGTTCTCCCCCAACCCCAAGGAGTCTTTGTCACAGCAAGCACAGCCCTGCACCCGATATGCATTTAACTGCGGGAAAGCAAACACCAGGAGCAGGTTCCAGGCAGCCCAGTCATGGGGATGCTGCCAACAAAGCCAAGCTGACATTATCAGAGCAGCAGAAGGAATATACCTGGGAAGGAAAGGCTTCCCATCCCCTTCCCTAACCACCCAACCCCGTCCCCCACATCTACAGTGATAAGCATACCCCACTACTCCCCGCTCAGGTGCTCAATGACCTTGCTTCGCCTCTGCTGTAGATCCCCAAAGATACCTCCACTTTAGTTAGAGCCTGGGTAATTAAGGGACAAATCAGAGGAGCTGCATGAGATGGGATGGGGGAGTAATTTCAGATGGGGGGGGGTACCATTTTGCTGTCTCTCTTCTACTGTTAACTCAGCTGCAGTATGACAAAACCTTCCCCATGTTTCACAGAAACTCCAAATTACCTCAAGTTCCATCCTGCTATCCCTGCTGTGAAAGAACTACAGTGATATTCAACAGGTAGCATGATGGACAACAGCCCAGCCAGACTCCAGCATCCGCTACCTGAGGACTTCCTGCTAGACTGCGTAAACACTCCTTCCCCTTAATGGCTTCAAGGAGTGCACTGCAAATAAGCAATAGCCTGTGTTTACTTACACTTGATCAGCTTGACCACTTCCAAATGGTTTGAGTGCGTTACAAGAGTCCCATTCACCTGGTGGGGATGGGGGGGGGAAAAAAAAAAAAAAAAAGTGAGAACTTTTCCGTGTCTGGCCCTGGGAGAAACTGCTTCAGAGAGCCTTGTACTACATATCCAACTGCAACACAGAGATGAGCCACTACACAGGATTTAATCTCCCTTTCTCCATGCTTTCATGGTACAAGTGGGATACATCTGCCTTGAGATGCTGCACTGCAGAAAGTATCTGATAAATCTTCCTTCTCCCTGTAAACATGTTAGGAGAGCATCGCATTTGCTTGCAGGAAGAAAACCGAAGATTTCTCCTTGAGCAGGGAGGAAAGGCCCAGTTTAAAAGCAAGGTGTGGTGAAGAAAATAACAAGAATGCATCCTAGCCAGGTTCAGTTCCCTCATTTGTTCACCTGGATTGCAATCCCAGATGCAACAAAACCAGTGGGTGTTTTGCCACTAACTGCAACAAAGCCAAGATTTCACCCTAAGAATCCATGCGCTGGCTTCTCGAGGTTATTTCACAGTCAACTGCCTCAATTTTACTTGTTCAGGACTAAAAAGGAGCATGGATTTAGGGATACGCAGGTGCAAAGTAAAACACCCCGATTCCCTGGCTATCATTTTCTCCCACTCCCATACCTTGCACTCATTTGTTCCGTGTGTGTGAAACTGGAATCCTTTTACATGCACAAGTTTGCAGAGGAGGCTCCAAAATGAAAATGCTCTCCATTTTAAAGCCAGCATCCCTAGCAGCTTCTCACACCTCCTGCCTATACTAAATATAGGCCGAGGAGAGGATGCCTCAGTCACATTAGGCAAATGCCAAAATATTAATGGGAGCCACAGAACACAGTGTCTTTGCAAAGAGAGCAGATCTGTTTCCAACGTCACAGGCATCCATACCTTGATAATTCGATCACCCGTCTGAACTCCAGCCCGCATGGCTGCTCCATCTAAGGCAAAAAAAAGACCATGATTTACTACACCATTTCCACTTCCAGTAATTTCCTAAGTATCCGGGGAACTGTAGGCAACCCTATACGAAACCCTGTGCCCCAACCCAGCTTCCCTTCCCCCCAGAACCCAGGTAAGCAGGGTACAATCTCAGGACTCTCTAGACTTCAAGAGTTATGGCTTCATCCTGAAGACAACACATCCTGATCACAATCCCACCATTTACAAAAAGAGAGCTCGTTAACTTTCTCCCTGGTACAGGATGCGAAACAACTTTGTTCAGTTCAGACCCTGTAGAGAGGCCCTTGCCACAGCTGTATCTACCTTGCCCTCGAGGAAAACTTCCAAAGTCCTCCTCTCATTTCCTTTTGCTTGGATGGAAACCTTTCGGCTGGCACGTTTCAGCAGACTGTCTTACCTTCTTTGACCGACTGCACGAAGACTGGATTGTCTCCGCTGACTGTCAGCCCAAATCCATTTTCATCCCGCTGAATAACAACGCAGCGCTGAACAAGACCTGCAGAAGAAAGGTTGGGGACAGGGCAGGAGAGACAGAGGAGGAGGGCAAAAAAATACAGAGACACAAACTAGGCATCAGTCCAAAACTGTATCCTACCAGATCATCACAGAGCACTGAATGAAACTTCTAGGAAAAGACGGGGGAGGGCGGGAATATCAGAGATATGAAGAAAGCATCAGTCCAGAAACAGACACAAATGTCAAGGAGGGTCAAGCTTATTGCTTTGGTTATATCAAGCAGAGATGTACAACAGAGATTCAGACAGCTCAGGCACATCCAACAACGTTCAAGATAAAAGCTGGTCTTGAAGGAAAAGCAGCCATGAACATGAACCGCTGAGGACAACTACCCTCTCCCCACAAAATAATCTGATTTCCTGGCACTTGCCATAGTATGCCCAGTACTGGACAGTCCCCTTTCCACTCCCAACTGTGCCAAGCAAGATTCCCCCCACAACAATTTAAAATCACCACAAATAGCACACGCTCAGAGCACAGGATCAGAACTGAACCGCCACACTTCTCTGGAAACAAACCAGCCTCGTGGCCCTTTTTCGGCTCGGGTGAGAGGACATTTCACAGAGCCAGGGCTGCAGGAGTAAAACACAAGCCATGACTGTTTTGTTCTTCAAGCCCAGCCAAACCCCAGGAAGTCCCAAATTCTCCTGTTCATCCTTTGACAGACCGCGATACCGAGGGTGAGATGCCTTATGTCATCAAGCTAGAGAAATGGAAGCACTACAGCCGAGCTAAAAATACAGCTGCCAAGACAAATTAGTTTATTTTGTACAGCGCTTTGAAGTACCAAAATGCTCCTAACCAATCCCCTGAGCTATCCCCTATCATTAGTTAACATATTAACGAACAGCAACCAGCAGCTTAGTGCATCAGACTGCACGTTCTCTGGGGAAGAGAGGGTATTTCCATGAGGTCTATACAACGTGTAGCACACCATGGGACTTTGGACACTTGCTGCAATACGAACAAGAAACACGCTGTAAAGCCCTTTATAAACTGTGATCAAGGGCCGTGCTTTTCAATCATCCATCCGTCATCTTACAAAGCAACAGGCAAAATTCCTCCACGGGGATGCAAGGTGGAAATGGAGCTTCTTCACTGTAACCTTCAGTGACTTAACCTGTAGATACTTCTGGTGAGGGCAGTGGCGAGGCAGCAGCCCACAGGTCCACGAAGAAGCTGCTCGAATAAGACCATACCTGTCTGGAATATGATTTTAAAGGGTGAGTGGCTGTGGGACATGCAAGAAATTCTGGGCCTGACCCCAGGCTTATCTCACTTCTGGACCAGCGCAGCTCTGCAGAAGTGAAGGAGAGCTGAGAACATCATCATCGCTGGGGTCTCTGAGGACACTGCATGCTTCACTCCAGCCCTCTGGGCACAGCATCATCTCACAGCAGAGTCCCTCTCCTTCCTAAACTTAACGCACTCGTTTTCCTCAGCCATGTGCTTGGAGCGGATGGACTGGACCAAAACTGAGGGTGGCCATGGCCAAAGAAGGCATCCTCACCTTCACAGCCTCATTTACTGCAGGGAAAAAGCATGCCTCCTTTCCTCGCCTCCTGCCTTTCTACATGACCAAGCTTCTCTAAGCCTCGCTTCGGAAAAACCATGCCCCGGGGCGGGGGTGTGGGAAACCGAACACATGCTGTTTCATTAAAAAAAGGCTCATTTTAAATGCTGCTGCCAGATGTACAGGTTTTCAGTAAGGCCTCAGCTAATCTTTCTACTAATAAGAACCTTCCTGGTTTAAAGGCACAGAACAGGCCTGACTGTGCATTAACCCTTTATTCCCCACATCGTTTAATTCCTCTTCTAGATTCAGCAGTGCAGAAGATTGATGCATCTGTGAGTTTTCTCCTCTGTTGTGCCTGGCAGCATGGGAGGGCGGGCTAATACGTGCCAGTAAATAGAGTGCAGATAATGCTATTTACACTCCACGCTGCTCAAAAGGTGGCACATGCAGTTAGATTCCTCACATCTCACCATGCAATCTGGTTTTTGCTTTCTCTTTAATTTTACAGAACAAGCCAATCTGACAAGGGGCAGAGGAGTCCAACAAGTACCAAAGGGCTCAGAAACTGTTTGCCACTAACTCTTCCAACACCACGTAAGTTAATCAAGTGCATGCTTCTTGGAGATCTCCCCATCAGGCTGGCTATGAATGATCTTAACAGAACTGGGGTCATCACCAGGGATCTGGGTTTTCCATTTCCCATGGGAAAAAAAAAAAAATGGGGATTTTCCCTTTTAACCAAGAAAAAATGTGGATTTTTCATTTTAACAGAGAAACACACAGATTTTCCACTTTTGCAAAGAGCTCTCAGCAGGCTGGCACAGCTGGTGCCCGCAAGGGGCTGGGGGGAGCAGGAGGAAGACGGTCAGGCAGGGGTGCCGTGTGTGTGTGTGTGCTCACACATGCACATGGCCGCCAGGCAGCCTGGGGAGCAGCTCCCACAGGTAAGTCTGGCAGAGGGAGGAAGGGGGATTGAGGCCCCCATAGGGAGGGAGTTGGGCAGGGCTGGGGCTGAGGCTGCTGCCCAGCCTGGGTGGTGTGTGGGGAATGGGGCCCAGGGCCATGTGCAACTATAGGGCCTGGCCGGGGAGCAGGATGAGGCCGCGGATGGCTCGTCTGGCGGGGGGCAGAGGGGGCAGGGCTGGCTCCCCACCGCTGCATGCACTCTGGGAAGGGTGGGGAGACGGGACAGGGGGGGCACGGGTACCCCTCAGATTTGTGCGCAGGGCAGGCTACCTGCTGGGGGCTTAGGCTCCTCACCTGGCTGCACTCCCCCTGGGGTCTTCGTGGCCCAGCAGGCAGGACCCAGCACAGCAGGGCAGAATGAGGCAGGGTTGGGAAGCTCCTTCTGCTGCAAACCCTGTACTGCCCCAGCGAGGTGCCACCTACCTATCCAGCAGCAAGGGGGGTGGCGGTGCAGAGTTGTGCCCCTCGCTGCTGCTGGGCAGGCAGGGGATGCCTCACAATGGTGGTGCGGGGCTCCCAGTGGCGGCACCGAGCTCCCCTGCCCAGCCCTGTTCTGCCCTGCCATGCTAGGTCCCACCTGCTGGGCTATGCAGACCCCGGGGGGTGGGGAGCATCAGGGTGGAAGCGGGGGCAGGAGCCAGGCTCCAAGCTCTGCTCCGTTGCAGCAGCTGCCGCCTCCCGCAAGCAGCAGCCACGGCTCAGGCACTGCCGCAGGTAGCATGAGGCTGCAGACCTGTGTCCCTGGCCCCATAGCCCTGGTAGCTGGGAGCCCCCCTCCAGCAGGGTTGGGGTGGTGGGGAGGCTGTGGGTGGTGAGTGAGGGGCCTGGACCTGCACCCTGATTTGCTAAGGGGGCAGGGGGAAGCTCTGATTTTCCATGATAAAAAACACAAAATCATATACCAAAATATACAGGTATTTAGAATTTATTATAGTGATTGAGGCACAGGTAGGCTTCCAAACTGCTTTCAGATTGTAAATATATCAACAAAACACTGTGTTCAATTGATTCCCTAGATTCTGGATACCCCAGCTACCTGATAGCAATGCCATGTTTGCTGGGAATAAGAGACCCAATTACCATGATATTTCTTCGTGGACTTACTGGACCCTTTCTTTGAAGAACCTGACACAAACCATCGACCCAATATAGTAATTTTTGCCTGCAACAGGGAGTGGGGAACAGCAGCAAGACTCTACTGCAGTTTCTCTCTCTCACCAGGGAAAGGGTTTCAAAACACAGACCACCACTGACATTCTTTAAATAAGTTACATTACACACAATCAAGCTAGAAAAGAACACACTTCAGTTCTCTTCTTCAACTTGCATTTCTGTTTTTATATCACTGAGATCAGGCCCTGAGTAATCCCTCATTTCACCCCCAGCTTTGAACAGCTGGAGAACCATCAGTGAGCAGCCTCACAAAAAGCCACAAGCCACTTGAGTGCAACAAGACAAGATGCCGCCACATTTTCAGTGAGCTGTTCTAGCGTCATGACTTGCTGTCGCCAATGCACACACCACCAGCGTGGACATGTTGCAAAGATGCATTAGAAGATAGTTAGCAGGAGCCTTCGATCAGGTCTCTTGTCTCTAGAGATGTCATTCAAATCCTGCGTGTTTCTATTTCCAAAAAGAGGAGTCCATACCCATAGCGACGCCTTAAGGCTCCCAGCTTTGGAAATCCCACCTTGCAAACTCCATCCTTCCAGCTGAGGGCCCGGTCAGATCACAGTGCGATAAAGAACATTTCTCCAAGAGAGAATGCTTTATATCCCCTGACAAGGAATACTGTCCCCACAGCAGAGACAGACTTAATGATGCTTACTGTATTTCATTTTATATTAGAGCCTAATGGGTGTTTTAAAGGTTTGGGTTATTTTTTTAAGCAACTAATTTAGAGAAGAAAAAAAAGCCTTCATCTCCATTACATGCAGAAAAAGACTATTGTGCTCTTGGCCTGAAGCCATACCATATCAGAGAGATTGTTATGTATTTTAGTTAAGCAGGTTTGGGCTTGGTCAGTACTAGAAAGGGAGAATTCCAAGGAAATCTTAGACACCAATTATTCAAGTTACCCTTTACCCCCCCCTGAGTCATTACTGACCCAATACTCAAGCACGGTTGTAGGGAACACTGCCTTTTGTAGGACAGGAAAAATAATCAAGGTCCTAACCTTTCATGTTCATTGATTCCACGGTACTTGTAAGGGTGTTGACCCCAGTCAGTTTGGACAATTGTATTCTGAGCTTCTCTATAGTTCCAGTAGAAAAGCTTTTTTGCTTCCTTCCTACATATTATTAGGCCTGTGAAAGACTGTCGGAGCATCACAACTAAGTCAGAGAGTCACACAGAGAAAGTACTTGGGTGTCTTTAACTTATTTCTTTGGTCCCTTCTAAAGCTGAATGGGAGTTTTCTGTTGCAATGATTTTGTGATGGAGCATGCACACTCAAAGCTGTTCGCAGGGAAGTCTGCGTTTTGCTAGAAGACTGCTCCTCCATCAGGGACACAGAAATAAAATCCTTTTCAAGTCAGTTCTGTCCAAATCGAAATATTTCATTTTTCCATGCTGCCCTGAACATTTAGCATTCATTCAGCCAAACATCCAACTGCATTTGCTGTCAGTCATTACAAGTCCCCAGAAGACCACCTTAGAGGCAGCCTGATGCATCGGAGGAAAAGCACAAACCACAGCTCACCTAATGCAACACACCTTTCCCTCTGGGGAGCTGCAAGGGGCCTCATGTGCATCTCATGACTCAATATTAAGGGAGAAGTGGTCCAAGCAGGGAGCCTGGCCCGTACGGAAAAATGGGACGAGATGGTTCCTGACGTACACCTTCCCATGGAGAGCTACACCTCAATGGGTAATGCAATTCAACAGCCAACTGACTTGAGACCAAGCATTTTGGGGTCAGTTCCAGTTTGAGAACAAAGTGATTCATTCCAAGGGGGGTTTCCAGAATTTCTTTTTTAAATTTTTACTCAAATTATTCAGAATTTGGTTCAGCAAAAGCTCGGTAATTTCCAACTGTTCCATGTTCAGATAAGAATAAATGCTGAAATGTCAGAATTTCCCCCGGGGTAGAAATTCAGTATTGTGGCCAGTTCTTGCCAACATATTTAGGCTCTCCTTGGCAAATGACCTGATGACCAGCACTCCTCAAATCTTTCCATTAGATGGGAAATGAAACGAGTCCTCAAATGCAAAGGGATAAATTACTATTGGAAGTCAGCAAACAGCACTGAAGGCGGCTCTCAAAGTTAATTTTGGTGTCCTTGCTATACAAAGACATGGAATAAAAGATTATTAGATAGAAACAACACTTTCTAGGGAAGCAACACATGCCCCTTCAGCGTGGCCAAGTGCCATTTGCACTCTAAGCCATAAGGACAACAATGAGGTCAGTCCACAGAGACCTTTCAAAGCTCAGTGGCTGGAAAGATGGTGACTATGGCAAGAAGCAACAATGCAGAGAAGGGGTATGCAAGAAGAGAGAACAAAGGAGCTAGAGCACTAGGGAGGTATCAACAGGGAAAGAATCTGAAATCTAAAAATGAAACCAAAAGCCACTTTGATCCCATCTATGAGAACAAGGGAATTAATTCTCAGAATTCACTGCATGTCACGACCTAGCATTAAACGTAAAAGGAAATGCATTTTAAAGACAGCATTACAGAAAAGGCCTTGAAAGATCCCCAAGCTATCAGCCATAAAACAAGTGCAACTGGCACAGTAATGACTCATACCGAGATCCCCGCTACTAAATTTTAGTCTGAAACCCGTTTAAAGGGATGAAGCTGCCTTCTGTAGAAAACAGGCATCCAACACATGCAACAAAAGGTTCAACTGCATCGTAATACTATGGTCCTGAACAACGTTGTGTCACAATCCTCAGACTACACTGGCAATCGTTTATGATCATCTTCACTACACACGGACCTATAAGAGAAGGGCGGTTGCTTTTCTGAAAGATGTCAAACTCGTTTCATGCTAGAGAGCCTACAATTAACTTCAAGACATTACAGTGGGGTTGCCTGCCAAGCTCTGTAGTCAACCAGGAATAGCGTCACTCAAGGGCTTTTGTCTTATTGCTCTGCCGAAGTGGGATTTCAAGAGCTCTGAAGAACAAACACACATCTGAAAGCCACACCTCATTTTTCTGTTGCCATTCAAGACATTTCTGTTACTCATCTCCTAATGGCAAGCCAAAGATCGAGTCAAAAACTAGTCACCAGCAAGAAAAAAAAAATATAAGTTCGCTATTTCTACTTGTAGGCTCTTAAATAGTTTGGTCCCATCTAAAGCAAACAGCGGCCTTCTCCACGCATACCACAGGGCTAGGAAAAAGCTAGGGGGAGAGCGAGAACACAGGATGAGGTCTAACCCAAAGGCCATCAGAAAGGAAGGAGGAGTGGAAACTGGGCGCTTTGCTCCTGCACACAGAGCATCTGCAGGAAACTTTGGGGGAAGCAGAGACTTGTGGTAGGAAGTCATGTTTCTTTATACATCCATGAAAAGCCAGGACAATGCACTGTAAGGGACGAGTATAAACACAGATACACTCCACGAGGAATATTAAACATTTCCTGTAGTCGACATGGAGTAGTCTGCCTGCTCTTCCAGTCTGCAACAGCAAAGCAGACTTAGGCACAAAGGAGTGGAGGCCCAAGGCTGGGATTTGGCCAGCACAGCTGCAAGGTCACCAACGAGCCAGGACTTGCAGTTGAGAAGCCGTGGCTAACTACGGACTAGCGAAAGACTCAACATTAGATTGTCAGCAGCAACAATATAAAATGCCGATGCAAGATCTTCAGGGAAGGAACTTCCTGGTTCCTTCCTTCTGGATGCAGCAGACAGGCTCAGAGCTGCAGCTGATCAAGGCCCTCCCAAAGCTCCTCAGGAGACAGCCTGATGATTTAGGGAATGCGTCCACAGCAAATTGCAACTTCTGCTTTTTTGAAATAGGATTATTTCAATTTTCACTTCAGAGTGGAAAACCCATTTCTGTAGCAGGGACAGAAAATTGCAGAGGACTCACCTACTCTACCAAGGCTCTGCCCGTATAGCAATACTGGAGTTTTTTCTGCAGAAATTGTACCTCGATGGGAGGTGTTGCTGGCATAACTATGCCAGCTAGAGTTACTTTTAAAAATGTTTTTAAACACTCTTACCTAACAGAGCCCTGGCAGCAAACCTCAATATAGATCTAGCCTGAAGCCAAAATGGGGACATAAACACTGGTTAGTTCTAACCAAGTTGTTCCTCTACCCACTGGGCTGCAGAAGGGAAAAAAGTCCCCGTGGAAGAAATGAAAAAGCAGGCATCACTGATGGAAAAAGTGGCAAGGGAGCTGGGCCTTTGGCTACAACAAAAAAAAAAAAACACAGCTGGTGAAGTGGGGACAGAAAGGGGCTCCTGGAAGCAGGGACAGAAAGCGGCTTCCCTCACAAAGACTACCAGGAGAGATGAGGCTACAGAAAGGGAGGGGAGGGGATTGCATTTAGGCTTTTCTGCTGTGTTTTGTTTTGCCTGCATCTGAAAGTCTCCTGAACTGTCTAACAGTAAAGCAAATTAAGGACTGGGGGTGTTTAAGAAGTGTGCCTTCCTTTATCTGCTGCATGACCCCAAAAAGCTGAGCTATAAAATGGTGCCTACATCACTGGGGCTTCAGGGAGAATGCCCGAAGGAACCAAGACTGCTTGAAAATGCAAAGCCCTAGGCCTGGGGCCTAGAGAAACTGAACTGCAGAGTCCCAAGACCAAGGAAGAGTTTTACACAGGGAATCCTCCTGTGCCAGGTCCTCAGATCCAGAGACAATTATCTGGACCTTGCATAGACCCAGCTGGGTTGGAAGCACATGGGTCCAAACAGTCTTGAGACTGTCCCATAGGCAAGACGCTGCCTGGTCTACAACTGAACGATCATGTACCTACCCAGGAGGACTCTCATCAGCCTTGTGGGCCAGAGGCAGATGCCAGTGAGAAAAGAGCCTGGCTCCTGGCTTCTTTGAAGTTCAATTAAGAAACAACAAGCTAGGCGCAGACTAAAGGGGGTCAACAGGCAAAGGAGGAGAGGGTGAGCAAACTCAGGCTATATTTGATACAAAACGTTTTCTATCATGGCTCAGCCTGAAGGTGCACGTAGGCTTTTCTTAGCTGTTATGGGCCAAGCTCCACTGGCCTAAGAGGACTCACAAAACAAGGAGGTAAAGCCTGATGCGTGTTCCAGGGAAGCTACTACTTTTACAAAGCACAAAGTGCCTGGTTTCATTAAAATTGTATATACATCCTAAAACGCAGCTCAACACAAACTGCAGGAGCCTACCATAACACAGAGGGTTCAAATGGAAACATTTCTCCAGGTTAGGGACCTTAAACAGGACTGATATGAGAAACTCTGCCCATGATGCCAAGAGCAAATTGCTGAGACAAACATCTCGCAGTGAAAGCAAGACACAGCAAGAAACCCTAAAAAATCCAGCTGGAGTTAAACATGTTGGTGCGCTGCCCTGAGGATCTGGTGGCAGAAATTCTCCAAAAACAGCAGTCACAAAACTTTCCCAGCTGGGAACAGAAGACAGGAGAACATGGCAGACAGCCTAGGCTTGCCACACACGGGTTAGTATCCAGCAGCTACAAGCTTATACATTTAAGCCACATAAAACCCAAGCGCCCGTCTCCCTGCTGCAAAGCACACCATGCAGAGCAGGTGAAGGGCAAAGGCCTCGGTGCACAGACAGGAAGCATGGAGCAGACTGTGAAAAGGACAAGGCTGCAGTGGCTGCTTTAGCTTACCATACGTCTCGGATCTACTCTCCTCCGAGCTAGACTTTGTCTTCCTGGAGGAGCTATCTGCATGAGAGCAGGAGAGAAGGAGAAAGAGAGATATAGAAAATATGGAGACCAAACATGAGGGGAAAAAAAACTTCATTACAGAAAAAACAAAACAAAACCCAGAATGATTTGTGTGATCGGGTTAAATCGTGCAAGACACAAATAAGGCATGAACACCACGCAAGTGGGAGCACTTGGAGTAAGGTGTGAACACAGGTAACACTAGACAGGAAGGGCCCGTCACAGAGTACTAAATGCAACAGGTTCTCTCCAACAAGCTACAGAAACTGCTCAAAATAACAGTGTTGTGAGTGAACACACCCCAAGACACCTATTGCCACAATAAACAGACTTTGCATAAGTAAGACTGCACAATGCTCTGAATCCACCTTCCCCGAAGGCAGATGTTTTATGGAGGCTGCAACAGAGTCCATCTACCAGACTAGACACCAACCAACGTTGGAGCAGGCCGACAGCCCTCAACCAAGAGGAAGGCATTTCCAGGATCCTGAGAACTTTCCCCCTCCCCAAAAGAGTTTGCTTTCAAACACTGCTTCTTGAACCTGCAGTTCAAGACGCTGCGACCTTCTCCCAACTCAACCCAAATCAAAGTATGTAATCTCCCCCACCCCTAAAAGCAAAGAAGACGGAGATAAACATTACATGTAGCCTCTCCCTCCCTCTCCCAGTGTATTTTTTTTAAATGCACTTTAAAAGTCCATTTTAAAATAATCTGTTCTTTGCGCAAGGGAGGAACCATGCAGCTACTGGTAGAAGTGTTGCAACAGTATGATTTGCAACGTCAGCTTGATCTGCTCTGTACAAGAACACGTCCTACAAGGTCTACAACCCTCAGATTCAATTCTCCTCTGTCCTACTGTCCCCAAAGGAATTAGAGGGCTCAACAGTGGAATTCACAAGCATGAGAAGCACACGCACTGCTTGGGCCAGGAGGCTCCCAGGACAGCCTGGCAGACAGGTCTGTGAACACACGTAACAGTCACTGGGTTAGTTGTTTAGGAGGATGAGGAGGAAGACTCTGCATGCAGCCTAAAACAAGAGACAGCAAGAGACTCTGGAGCTGACAAAGATAGTCCAAGGCTTCATGGAAGGTACAGAAAGAAAAAAAAAAGGAAAAAGGGAAAAATGTACATGTCCAGGAATACTATATTTTTAAAGTTAAGTGCTTGAAAGGGTAGATTCATCCCAGAGAGTGCAGGGAGGGGTCAAATCCAATGACGTTTGAAGCAAGTCACTGCTCAAGACCCACAGGACTTTACATATCCCCTTTTGCTTCACTGAGTTAGGAAAGACCAACTCTAACCTACAACAGTCAGCAGGCTAGAGGTGATATCTTTTATTGGATCAACTAGACCTACAATATTCACTTATGGAAAACCTGGGACACGTTTTGTTTCTGAACTCTATTTCTAACACCACTGGTTTAGATCTATTTTTTGCCCAGCTGACGGCCATCTTGCTAAAAAAAAAAACATTAAGCAAAATCAAGTTGTTCACATTCACTGAGATGTCCCAGTGTGTCAGAAAGCTTGTGCAAGTACTGAATAGCACCTGAATGCTGTCCTTCTTAAAAAGTGTCAGAACCCATCTACTCCCCGTCTACCCTACAATCCTTCAAATACTAGAGCTGAATTATGTTTTGAGGGCTTTACCTGTAGGATCAAAGTCGTGCGCACTGATGCAGCGTTCAACCTTCTGCTTCTTGTCGGCTGGAGACTCTCTGCTCAGAATGCTGCCATGCCTGTGTCCAACAAAAGCAATCAATTTGGGATTGCATCAAGGTAAGAGAATCAGTTAGATCTGAAACTTTGTTACAAAAAGTGGGTAACTGTATCAGAGAAGCTAACATCCCACCCACCTTTGCAAACACTCAAAGCAATTAAGCTCTTTCTTATGATCCAAGCTGTTGCCAAATTTCACTTTAAAAATGAATTAAAGTTACAAAGGGGTAAAGGAAAACGCCCCCTCACCCCAAAAAACATCAACAGCTCCCTAAAAAAAACCCTTTAAGAACTTCATTTTAAAATAAAAACAAAAATGTTGGAGCAAATATTTAAGAGGCAAAAGCCTGTATAACAAGTACCAACCTAGTCACTTCCTATGACCATCTCAAATCCTGAATGACACCAGCTGCTGTGCTTTGCTGACATGCAAAGCAGTGACACTATATCATCCATGCTGGGTATGTCGACAATTATATTTTGAGCTAACTGTCCTGATCTAGGCATTTCATGGCCCTCACTCAGCAGTAGACACCGATTCCTAATCTATTTTTGTTTTAAGTAGTTTACGACATTAAAAAGTATCAGCTTGCAGTACAGGTGAGCAGGCAAACTCCAGTTTCTTACCTTGTAGGTTTTTTGAGGGGAAACCTGAAAAAGAAAAGAAAACAACGTTTAGTGAAACACATTTTACTTCTGATGCTTTTATTCTAAGAAAGAATAAGACTATGTTGCCCTTCTGTAGCACCTTTCACAGAGATCCCCGAATCCTCTGTATTTCCGCTTCAACATAACAAATCCTCTTGAGCTGATCATCAGCCTCATTTTACAGTTTGGTAAACTGAGCTAAAGGTCTGTACGACTTATCCCAGGTCTCCCAGTATCCCAGCAGCAAAACCAGAAGTAGAAGTCTTGAATCAGTATCAGAACGCCAGTGGTCTCAGCGCTAGAGCACTGGCTCTCAACCTTTTTGGATTCAAGGCACCACTCCATAAAACTTTTGCAAACTGAATGGCACCCAATTTCAAAAAAATGAATTTATTACAGTGCTTACTGCCTTACACAGGGGCTGAGCAATAAGGGTGGGGGATCGTCCAGGCAGGGACAAGCCTAAGCTTGGCTTATCTCCTCACACCTCGTGGCACCCTGAAAGAACCCGGGGGCACCCCAGAGTGCCCCAGCGTGCCTGGGCAAGAATCACTGCATTCGAGCACAAGACCTCCCAGATCACCCCCTCTCAAAGCGGGGAACAAGTGTTCAATACCAAGTAAAGCCAAGGGATGGGAATCAAAGAGACAGAGCTTCTGCTCCTTAAACGTCTGGCTCTAAAGCTTCACCATCTGCAAAACGGGGCTCACGTTTCCTTATACCTTTAAAGTCTTAGTAGGCAAAATGCATTACCATTTGCCAAGTGCTTCTAAAGCCCTGGCTGGAAAGCAATACACAGTGATATCTTGGGAGCAACAGAAAACTTCAGACACATTTTTGTCCCAGTTTTTTTTTTCCCCACACAGCTGTTACTTGGGCCACCTCAGATTATTAGGACTGAAAGATTAGCGAGAAAACATTTTCCTCTCTACTTTCCCAGTCTGTTTACTACCAGCAGCTTCTCCTGTTTATCTGGGTTTTCACACAGCAGCAACCGAAAGGGGAAAAAAAAAGACGAAATTAAAAACAGGAAAGTATAAAGTAAAACACCACAAACACTGTCAGGGCCTAACACTACTTTTAACTCTTTCTTAATCCAATTTTTGAACTGGATAGGCTCAAAAAAAACAAAAAAAAAAACAACAAAAAAAAGAGGTTGGCATATAGTCTCACATGACAAATTCAGGTTGAAAAAGTTGCTTTTTTTTTTTTTTTTTTTTTTTTTTAAAGCACAGGACGGTCTGGAGACTCCCATTTCCAACCACACACACACCACGCACAGTCCAGGGTTTTCTGGCACAGCCGCATACCCAAGATGACTATTTACACGGATCTCTGTTTCACCTGCCATATACTTTGCAAAAGTTTCAGAAGTATGGGACAACAGGGCCCCAAGTTAAAACAAGTTGTGGGAAACTGTGTAGGAAAGGCATGTTTTTAGGAACCATTTCAATTGTTTTTAAAAATCAAAGAAACCCCCCAAATCCCACTCTCTGGCCTGACTTAAAGCATTCTGCCATCATTCTGGGACATGGAAAAACCCAAGTGAAACATTAGAAGCAAAAATGAAGCTGTCTCTTCCTGCTGGGTTTGTTTGGTGGGCTTCTTGTTTTGCATTTCTTTAGTGGCTGACAAACAAGAGGCAGTTAAGCTTTAATAAATACAAACTTATGCAACACTGTTCTGGTTTGCCTTTCCATAAATGAGCTTGTTGACTTCAGGGTTTTCCTTCAGCTAATTAAGGTTCTTAAGCACAAACTTAATTTTAAGCGCACAAATAGTTTCACTGGGGGGGGGGGAAACCCCAAACGATGGAATTATTACTGCGCTGAAGAGTTAAGCGAGTGTTTAAGTATCTCGTTGAACCGGAGCCAAAGTCTCAGAACAGTCCTTGCATGACAAGCGATGATTATCTTCATTTTAGGGATGGCATTTCGGCAGAGACTGCCAGTCGCCAACTGGGCCTGCTCAGGCTGGCAGGGCTGAAAGCAGCTCCGAGCGGAAAAGAAATCCCATCCTGGGACGGCACAGGCGCAGCACTTACGCCCGCCAGGCTCTGCCTCTTTCCTGCATCAAAACTCCCCTCTCCAGAACAATGCCGCCTGCGTCAAGAGGTGCGCGGCTCCACGAGGATTCTGGGATCGATTCCCGGAAGCAGCTTCCCAGCTGCTGGCTTCAAGCCAGTTTCCAGAGTTTCTTCCCCCCCTTCCAAAGAGGGAGGAGGATAGCGGAGGGAAGCAGGGCAGGCAGCAGGTCAGGATCACAGCAAATCCCCTCCCAGGCCTGCGCATACTCAGTGCGATCGCTGGAAGCAGCAAGATGAAGGGACTTGCAGGTTCTTTCTTTCCTGCAGTGTAAAAGCACTGCAATTCTACCTCCAGTTGCTCAGTTTTACTTCAAAAGCTTTGGGTAAAAGCTGGCAGAACGGTGCCGGGGATGGGGGAGAGAGAGCTTGGCTTTTGTTCAGCTGCATTCGAGCTGGAGCAGTGATAATCTCCCTCAAAGAAAAATGCGCAGCCCGGAAGTAATTCCAGCTCACTGAAAGAATCTCAGAAATCAGAGATGGAAAAAAGACGTGTTGAGCTAAGACCATAACTATGTCCTTAATGTTCTTACTTGCCGGGCTGTGGGGGTGCATCCGAGATAGAAGAAGTTTCTCATCTAGCCCCGCCGAGGTTATTTGGGTAAATGCAATCTCTTTTATTAGATCAACCGAATTGTTGGAAAATTTGTTCTTTGCAAGCTTTCGGGCACGCTGTTTGCAATCCTGGCAAGTTGTTCTTCGCAGGCTTTTGGGCGCAGGCGCCCTTCTTCATCTAGCCCCACACACTCCCATTGCAAATACCTCCTTGCATTTCTGGTTTGCTCAGGATACCCTTTAGTGCCTAAATACCAAACTTGCTTGTATTTGGCAGAAACAGGCACAGGATAAGATACTGGATAAGTGCCACATGAAAAGGAACAGGACCCAGAATTACACTGTCTGAGTAGCCATGGGTTAGATTCAGAGGATCCAATTTCATTGTAGAAGTAACAGGCAGCAATGCATCAGAGAGAACGGAAGGACAAAACATCACCAGGGAACCTGGTTTCCTCTGATTTAAAAAAAATGTACAACTTTCAGTTTAAAAAAAACCCCAAATCCACATTTTTCCATGATTAAAATGAAACACCACTATATATAGATATATAAAAATCTATATTTAAAAAAAAATCCCCAATTTTCAGTTAAAATAAAAAAATAACCTCAAATCTACATTTTTTTCCATGATTTAACTCATAGAACCATAGAAAGAAGGACCGGAAGGGACCTATAAAATCATCAAGTCTGGTCCCCTGCCACGGGCAGAAGGTAATTGGGCTCAAACAAGCTCAACAAGGTATTGTCCAGCCTCCTCTTAAAAACCACCAGAGATGGCGACTGCACCACCTCTGCTGGAAGTGGGTTCCAGATTCTAGTTACCTGTACAAAAAAGAATGAAACACCACTTACACACACACACATCTCTATATAGATATATCTATCTATATACATCTAGATAGATAGATGGGGGGGGTGTTAGTGGTGTTTTATTTAAATCATGGGAAAATGTGGATTTGGGGTTACTTTTTTATTTTTTAACCTAACATTGGGGATTTTTTTAAATGAGAAAAAAAACAGGATCCCTGAACATCACAAGGCTGAGAGTAGAACTTTTTGAAGTTGTAAGTAAATCCTTCTTTCTCTGCCAGGTGCCTGCCACAGCCTGTGGACATTCAGTAAGCGTTCATATGCTTCATTCAGTTTTTATTTGCAGTTCAACCTTAATTTCGCAGAAGTACTGCTGAAACCTCATCTTTAACCCGCCCCACTACACCCAACCAATACAGCATGTTACATATTTATTTCAATTACTATTGCAAACACCCTACAAGCTGTAGCTACAGCAGGGTGTGGTTAACAGCTGGGGAGGCAGCTCCAAATCAAGCTGGCAAGTTAAGGCTGTGTGATAAAAGCCTGGTAGACATTTTGTCTGATAAATAATGCACATCAGCACATTTTCAAACTAGTTGTTCCACTCTCTCTTCAACTCCCAAATACCAAGAACAATAGTAAGAGCCAAGTCAAATTTCATTTTAAAAGTACTTAAATCACTTTGACATCAAGTGACAGGCTATTAAAATTAGGCCTGTCTTGGCCGTAAATATGTTAAGCAAAAGAAATTAAGTGAAGAGTGAACTGAACAGAATATGCTAAACTTGTAATATTAAGAGACTGAAAATTACACCGGCCTGATGTGTGCTACACACCATTCTGTGCTGGATTACTGCCCAAAAAGCACCTCTAAGCTAGAAGGAGAAAAAAAAAAAATAGCTTTAGAAATCAAATGCATCAAGACACACCAAGACTAGGAAGAATTCCCAGCTTTCCACCAGTACAAAGCATTCCTTTCTAACCCCAGAGGCTGGAAATATATCCGACCATAAATAGCATATTATTCAGCTAACTGTGTTGGTTTTTCTTCTGTTCATATTACAATCTTATTAGAATTCAAATGTCTGTCATCTCAGAAATTCAAAGAGAAAAACACCTGGATTCAAACGCGCATCCCAACCTTGGAAACACTTATGCATTTGCTTAACCGTCATCCCATTGACTTTGGTGGAACTACCGATGCACTTTAAATTAAACCGGTGCAGAATTTTTTGCAGGATCAAGGCTTAAATAGCTATAACCAGCGCTGACTAACTAATACTGTGAAACTGGCTCAAAAAGAAACAGCTGAGAATGACTTGCTTGGCAGAGGTGACCTGTAATGAGGAGACAAACAGCGGTGCGGGAAACTTTATGACTGCTTTATTGGAGTTATTTAGATCACACGGCGACTTGCTGCGGACAACTCCACCTGCAGAATTTTACATCTGACATCAGAAATCCTCCTATCTTACTGCTCCATAAAGGCTGAGTAAGATGAAGAAGTGTTTTGCTCTAAGAAAGGGCTATTTAAAATGGCACTCCCTTA